GTTTGCCTTCTTCCAAGTAGTAAACCATTAAGGTTTTGATGGACTATTCAAAGGAATGATTAAGGGTGGTCCTATAAAGCTAAATTAGTAGCTATTGAATTTTTTGATTATTTATAACAAGATATTGGAATCCCTTAAGTCCTTCTAAAGTAATATTTGATAAATTTGTGTTCTCAAATAATTCTCGTAATAACGAGTGTGACCAGTGTGTTTATATTAAAAGCACATGGAAGTATATGTCTATAGACGACATTATAATCATGAGATAATGATCATGATATTATTTTGAACGTTGAGAAAATATTTTTATGTTTGATGTCAAAAGACGAGGGTCTAGACGATGTAATCTTATAGATTAAAGTCACTAAGACAAATATAATCATTTGAATGTCTCATGTTGATACATTACTAGAAAATTGATCTAGTTATCTAAAGACCAAGTCTTACTTGCAAAAAATAATGATGAACAATGGTTCAATTACAAATATTTTTGGATAGTTTGGCAGCATAATGAATTGCAAACTAGTAAATATGTAATTCCAAAATAAATAATCATTCAATGATATTATAAGGGTTCTTAGGTAATCTAAGTATCGCCTTTAAATGGATTACATTAAAGAAAATATCCAATTGTATTAGGAAAGTACATTGGATATATCAGTCCACTAAGATTATGTATCTTGGAAATCCTCAAACAAAATTGAATAGCTCGATTCATGGTCGAATTCGAATATATAACTTGAGATAAGGTTAGAAAAGATGTTGAATAAACTTCATAAAGTTATTGGAGGATGTTCCGTGTTGGACTAAGTCGGTGTCTACAATTATGAATAAATTGTGATAACCAATCGGTTACGTTAAGGGCACAAACGACATGTATAATGACAAGTATCGATACACTCGTACACATAAGACCATTACGCAATTGATCTCAAAAGAAATAATATAACATTGCTAATGAAAATCAATGGTTAATAGCGGATCTGCGACTAAAAGTCAACTAAAGAGATCAAACATATTGCCTGTCTAGGGGAGTGAGATCAAAACCCACAAATTAAGAATTTCTATAGTGGAAACCCAACCATGATGACTGGAGATCCCAAGAACTGGTTCAAAAGGGACAACTAAGTTATGGAAAATTCAGTGATGCACTAAGGAGTATATATTCCTATGGAATTATATATTTCCAACTCATTCCCGTGATAGACATTAGTGCTGCCTGCAGAGAGGGTAAAGGATAAGCGAAAGATTTTAATGATTCCAAAACCTTGACAAAAGGTGAGGTATTGGCAGGATACCTTTAATAGGACATCACCTATCTAAGTGTAGAAGTGTGGGCCGCTTCAAAATGACAAACACTTATGAATCCAAGATGTGCTCCAGGGCCAAAATGGACGCAACCATGAGAACTGATGAAATGTGGGAAAACTATTGTGTGGATATCATTGTCTTGGTTTACACAAACGGCTGGCAGTTCAAGACATCGTGTTCACTAACTAGCCAAGTAAATCCGATGGTATACCGCTAAGGAAGGTTCAAAACCAGAAGCTACCTATCCCCATTGCAATAGCATCCACTTGAACTCTCGATAGAATCCATCGTTTTTCGTTAATTTCATTCGTGTGGGGGATTGTTGGGAATTTTATTTATTAAAATAAAATTATTTTTTGAATGAAAATAAAAAAATATTTGTAGGCACCTATTTGATCAAATAGGTGTGACAATATGAAGAGGTGTGGCCACACCTCTTGACTTGTTTAATTTCCTAAAGGTTGTGTTCATTAATCACAACCATTGGAAACTTATAAATAGAAACTCCACATGTTTGATTTTATATTAACATAAAAATCAATTCAATTCTATAATTTTGTTCTATGGAATTCTTCCTTCTTCAGCCCGAAAATATTCTTCGTAGAATATTTTGTTCCGTATTCTGTTCGAGAGTTTGAGACACAAAGTAACGTTCGTTGTACTCGGGATTTTGAGTGCTCATATGCCGAGTTAGCCGTTGTATCTTGGGAGACAATTGTCAAATAACCTTAAGCACCGTAGCGGGATAATATTGTCTTAAGGAAAGAGTATTCTCGCCTCGGCTAATCTTTTCGTATTTTCACTAATTAATTTGTTCGACCAATTTACTAAATTCACTACCCGTTTTATGTATCGGGAACAACAGACTTATCCCTATATATTTTCCATATTATGAGTGTATATCAAAACATCCATAATCTTAAATCACTATGTTAAATTTAGGGGGCGAAAGTAACCCTTTTGACAAAATGTCAATATTTTCAGAAGTTGATAACAAATTCAAACTTTGTTAATGATATGGAAATTTGGCATATACATCCTAATTTATATACTTGCAATATTTTTTTTGATCAGCATATGCACGCGAAGCTCGTTCAGCCACCATCGACCCAACACTAGAGGTGAAAATTGCTCGTTTGGCCCACTTACGGTCACTTTTCGACGCGACCAATACTTTTATCGAGAGCAATCCAAGCGTTTGATCAATCTACCGGCTCCAAATTGCTCCCTAACCGGGTCCCACGCAATTCGTGCGTGTGCTCGATGTTGAGAGATGTATAAAATCTATGTAATGATTGAAAATAAAACCGAGAAACAGACAGTCAAAAAGCAGACTACCGTTGCATTTTTATTTCTACGCACGAAGCAAAACAAAGGAGTAAAAATGAAAGTGAAATTGGATACGTCGAAGTTGTGCTTTACATATTGATTTATCATATGCGAGAACTAAGGTCAATTTAAGAAAAAAAATCACCACGTTGTTTGTAATTACCGAAACCCCCTAATGTTTGTTGTTGTTGTCTTACAAAGTTCCCCTTTACGGTGTGAAATTTGACGGATTTTTTTATTTCATGTACTATCACTCAGCAAATACCGATTTTACCCTCATGACTAATTGTTGTAATATCATCTTAGTTTTGTGGAGTTTATGTTTCTTTATTGGGTAAATTACAAAAAAAAACCCCTGAACTTAGCCTGAATTATACAAAACATTCCCACATATTCGTAATTACTAAAACTCTCCGACGTTTGTTTTCGCCTTACATCTGCCCCTTATGGTGGGATTTTTCATAACATCTTTTTGAGTTGAGCGATTATTTCCGAAAAATGCCAATTCTACCCCTGTAGACGTGGCATTTCTTTATGCTACTTTTTAAAAACAAAAATTATCCTTAGAGGACCTTTACACGGAATTATTATTCTTCTTAAATAACACACTCACAACTCTTTTTACTATTATGGGTAGATGGGGTATTTTCGTAATTTAGCCTAAGTTCAGAGAATTTTCATAATTTACCATTTATTCTTTAAGTTGACAAACCTAATAGTCAATTGATTTGGCTGCCACGTATCCCTTGTTTTAATTAGTTGTTTTATTTTATTTTATATCGACCTAAAAACTGTTGACAAAAAATTTGAACTTGGGTTAATTTACATTTGTTCTCTTACTCCAACCGCTAGACCACCCACTACATGGCCAATTAAAGAAGATATTGATATATTGGGAATTGATATGATACATTTGAATAAAAAAGAGAGAGAGCTAATATAGTACAAGATGTATAAATAGGGGGCTATATTGTTATTTAATATTGTTAGTACCTAACAAAATATTTAAAAGGGTTAATGGCATTTTGCACCCCAAACTTTGTTGTGTTTCGCACATTACCCCTAGACTAAAAAAAAGTTGCACGATGCCCCCCAAACTCTATTATTTGGAGCACCGATCACGAATTTGACTATTTCCGACCAAAACTTCTCCTGAAATTCGAGTGTAGTCGGAGCTCTGATCAATTAGCAGACTACTCATTAGCTTTTGCGGTGGATCATCGGAGCTTCGATTAGCTGGCTAAGCATTAGTTTTTTTTTTGGTAAAAGGAAACCGCGGCCAACCATATAAATGCACTGGATAAACCTACACTCTCGTATGATAGCTTGCAAACCATATGAGAGACGTGGACCACATTAAGCTAACCATGTGTCGCAACCTTATGCGTGGCTAAGCATTAGTTGACTTCAACATTTGTTAACTAAATCGAAGCTCCGATTACATTTGTTGGCTAAGCATTAGTTGAAATTCATATTTCTCACTCAATTCCATCTTTTATTATCTCCGTACACAACATGTTCAACACATCTGCACCCAGAATGTATCATGTTCCTGGATTTTTCTCGCAATTTGGTAAGCACATGGAAGTCCATGGGTAACACTAAGGACGTGGGTAGAGCTAGCCGAATCTTGTACAACTGGTTTGCCGAGCCCATCATCCAACAAATCTAATGCCTTATGTGTGACATTGCGTATCAAACCTTGAAAAACTGGATACGCTGCTTTGTCTTTCCTGATTGGATTTTGAAAAATCCGTCTTAATCCTGATTAGTTGAAGCTCAACCCCCGAATCAAGCTGAAATTGCACGGTGTTAACAGCTCCGGTAGATCCAACCCTTGGACGAACTGTGAGCACTCCCCACCCTAGTCGTAGTCATCAACAATTGCAACATATAACTAAAACATCAACAATATATTATAAATGTAGAACTAAAAACCGGAAATACCTGTTAGTCAACGTGTTCCCAAAATGCGATGCTTTCTTGGGTTAAGTAATGGGCTTGCCTTGTTGGATCATAAAAACTCTTGACATCAAGAAAATGTGCGAAGTGTCTGTGCTCATAATAGTTCTCCCCCTTTATTGTGTTGGTAGTAGCTTAACCAAATTTGTTTTACGTCCTACAGTTTTTTATTTTCTTCCATCAAGCTATCTTTTACCCTTATTATGTTTTCCTTGGGTTTTTTTATTAGGAGTTTAATGCAATTAGTACTCTTGTGTTACATCCAATTGCTAAAAAACTATCCCATGTTATTTTATTAGCAAAACACCCCATGATTTAGTTTTTTTTAGCTGTTAGTACCCCTCTAACTCCCGATCAAGGGTTGTACTTGTGTGCTAACAAAATTTGAATCATAAATAATACAGATAGGGGTACTAATTGAAATAAACCCTTTTTTATTAAAACAAACTTAGAGGGAAGGTAATGCGTAATGATAGTTGCAAAATTTAGAGTCAATAAAAATTCTTTGTAATTATACTATTTTGAAGGGGTCTAGATGTAATTAGTCAATTAAACAACAGACTCCACCTTTGGGCTACTTCATTTTGCACTGCAGTAGAATTTTCTTCACAAAAATCGCTTTAAGAAGATGAGGATTTCTGCAATAGCGCCTCCTATTCGTAGAGCAATTTCTGCTAAATCTTCTACTTATTACGGTATTTTTGCTTGTCCGTTCTCTTTATTTTCTTTAAATTTTCATAGCCTTAGACTTTTTTCACCTAATTTCAAAAGAGATTTGAGCTGTGAAACTGAAGTCGATGAAGCAATTTTCTTGTTTCTTAAAATGGTGAGAATGCGGCCGCAGCCCCCCATTTTTGAATTCACCAAACAACTAAAAGTTATTGTCAATATGAAACAATACTCGGTTGCCCTCAAACTGTTCGACGAAATGCGTGAACTGGGTGCCCCTGTAAATGAGTACACGATGAACATCTTGATTAATTGTTGCTGCCATTTGAAGCGTGTAGACGTTGGTTTTGCTGTCTTCGGCATCTTCTTTAAACACGGTTACGAGGCAGATGTTGTGACATTCACCACTCTTCTAAAAGGGCTCTTTTTAGATGGTAAGGTGGCCGAGGCGGAGAAATTGTTTAAGCAGCTTTTGAGTTTGAGACTTTGCGAGCCCAATGATTTTACGATTGTTACTGTGATAAACGGGCTCTGCAAAAATGGACATGTTCTTGCTGCGCATGATTTGCTTTTGTTATTGGAAACGACTATCTATAAACCCAATGTTATGGCTTATAATGCCGTAATTGATGGCTTATGTAAAGTCAGAATGGTGGATAATGCACTCGAGCTGAAGTGTAGAATGATTGATAAGGGCATTTCACCTGACGTTGTCACATATAGCCCGATGATTCAGGGCTTGTGCGATTTTGGTAGATGGAAAGAGGTGAAACACTTGCTAGATGAAATGGTCAACCACAAGATTTGTTTAACTGTTGTTACTTTCAATATATTAGTGGACTCATTTTGCAAGGAAGGAAATGTTAAAGAGGCTGAAGATGTTTTGGAAATTATGAAGCAACAAAACATTAGTCCTGATATTTTCACATACAATGCGTTCATAGATGGGTACTGTTTGCAAGGGAAAATGGAAAAGGCGAAAGAGGTATTTGATTCTATAACAGGCGACGGCCTTAAGCCATGTATTGTGAGCTACGGCATTTTAATCAACGGATACTGCAAGAAGGGTAAAGTTGATGAAGCTTGGCGTCTTTTCCTCGAAGTTTCTTCGAAAGGCTTAGAACACACGACAGTTACTTATAACACCATGATACATGGATTATTTAGTGAATGCAGAATTGCCGATGGATGGAAACTATTCAACGATATGGAAGCTCGGCACGTACATCCAGATTTACATACTTGCAATATTTTGTTGGATAGTTTGTGCAAGTCTCATGAGATTGCCGAAGCATTTTCGTTTCTACGGGTGATGGAAGACAAAGGATTAAGTCCTAATATAATCACATACGGTATCTTGATTAATGGTTTGTGCAAAGATGGGAAACTTGAAGATGCAAAAAAGCTTTTAAACGAACTTCCTTCGAAAGGTTTGCAACCAAATTGTCAAGCGTATACCATTGTTATTGGTTCACTTTGTGAAGAAGGATTTGTAGACGAGGCAAAAGATTTGCTTGTGAAAATGGAAAGAAGCGGTTGTGCAGCGAATAGCGTGACATACAACAACATAATCCAAGGTTTGCTAAAGAGGAAAGAGGTTTACAAGGCCATGCCATTCTTAGAGGAAATGTATAAAAGGGGATTCTCGGCCGATACAGCTACTTCGTCCATGTTAATTAATCACCTGCAAGGATTTCAAAATGACGATGTTCTTCTTGAAATGATTAAGAAAGTTGTACCGAAATTATAAATTATTTATTTTAGCTTCTGTAATAAAATAAAGTTTTGCTATGGGAAAATTACAATTAACATCCCTCAAGTTTGAACCAATTTCACATTTGGTCCCTCGTGTTTCAATAATTTAACACTTTTGGTCATCTCCTGTACCGTTAATCCGACCGTAAAGGCAATGATGGGAACAAGCTTGATTCCGTTAGCACAAACAGAAAATTTACGAAAAGGACTAAAAGTGTTGATTTTTTTAAATATGAGGGACCAAATGTGTTTTTTGTGAATATGGGGATTAAATGTGAAATCAGTGTAAACTTGAGGGATGAAAATTGTAAATTTCCTGTTTTGCTATGTCTAGAGTGACTTGTTTCCTGCAGGTCTTTCTTTCATGACTTTGTATGATTTTTTTGCGATGTGTTTTCGATTTAAGCGTGTAAATAAGTGTGTGTATCATGTCAACCAAACGAGGCCCAAGTGTTTTATGTCTCGAGATAAGCTTAGTAAGAATGTCAATAACAACCAATAGGGCTCTCGTTCACATCTAGAAATTAAGTTCCGACAATCGTTGCTTCTCAAGAAAAGGTAGACAAAGCAACTACTTAAAAAGAAAAAAGAAAAAGAAAAAAAATTCATTAAACCACTATAGATCACTTCTTCAACTGGGCTTTGTCCTAGACAAAAGACCCTTTAATGAAGGAATTAAAGGTGCTTCTTCGTCCACATTTGTATCTAGATGCGATCCATTATTCCTTCCGTTTTTCCCTCCTAAACCGTTGTTTGAGTTTTCATCCGGAAAGTAAAGATTTGAAGACCGTTTTTCCGACTTAAGGTCCTGCATGGAATTGACAAACGAGAAATTCACATACATCGAGGGTTTTTATTCGTACAAATCGGATCAAGTAAAACATGTCATATTAATAAAAGAAATAAAATAATGTTCCTTTTTTTTGCTAGAGTCGAATATTTAAATCCCGTAGGAGTCAAATCATGCCTAGATTTTGATTTAGTTGTTGAAGAATCGAGTAAAAAGGAGAGAAGGATTTGAATTGCAAAACGAAAATAAGTGGAGAATAATTTAAAAGAGCAGTAACAAACATAGCCATAGTAGTAGTAAGGGGAGTTCTTCTTTTTTACCTTCGCCGCTCGATCTGAGATACTCTCCCCGGAAATTTGGGACGAACGAATATCCTTAGCCTTCAAATAATTATACATAACAACACCACACAAAGCTGCAGAGAAAGAAAAAAAATTCAAGAACTGCCTTCGATTCATAACTACTTCCAAGGAAATATATAAAAAGATATAAATAAGAAAGTTTACCAATGGCATAACCGATAATATTTAGCTTGGTGATAATCGACTCTGGAAAAATTACAGTAGAAAGGGCAATAAGTATCCAGTCTTTCAGTACACCAGCGACTCGAATAGTCACTGCACCGGTTCTACCAAGTACCAAAAATATCGAGAAATTCAAAGCCAAGGCACAAAGTGCGTTTGAGAAGAATATCCATATATTAAATTGGATCTGTGATACTTCCATTGCAGGCATCTCCAAAAGATACCACGGAATAAAAAGAAACACAAAACTGCACATGAAAAAAGCCAACATAACAATTATTGTAAGATTGTGTTAAGAAATTACTAAAAAAAAGCATAAACTAAGAAGTTGTATTTTTAATGTATCAATTTGTTTCACATATTTCGAAATTAAGCCTAATTGTTTAAGCCAAGTTTTAACACAAAATAGTCATCTGAGTTAAATAACATGCCTTCACTCTCTCACTGACTAGGCGACAATTTTATTTTCCGATAGAAATTGGCAGTTAAAGCATATCAATTCCAAGTTCAAAAACTATAATATAAATGGATATCAAATATTTATTAGGACATAATGCACTTCACCCCCTATAAATTTCCTATTTTTGCACTTTCCCCCCTAAAAATTCAAAAAAGGGATACTCCCCCTTTGAAATACTATTTTGGTTGCACTTTGCCCCAGAAGCCAATTTTTGGAGGGCATTGTGCAACAAAAATAACATTTTAAAGGGGCAACATGCAAAAAATTAGTATTTATAAGGGGCAACGTCCAACAAAAATAACATTTAAAGGTGTAATGTGCAACAAAAATACTCAATTCCGATGAATAATCCATCGGAGTTTTACTACCGGGGCAATGTGCAACAAGAATAACATTTTGAAGGGGGCATTCAGTTTTAAAAAAATTTAGGGGGTAAAGTGCGAAAAGTAGAAATTTGCGGGGGAGATGTGCAATTTGGCCTATTTATTATTCTTGTCAATTGCCAATAGGGGTGGAAATCAGACCGATCGGATCAGAATCAGCAACTTTTCCGGAGGTGAAAAACAAATTCCAATTCCGTGAAAAATTGGAAATCGTAATTTCGGAAATTGGAATGAAATAACTTGTTCCAAAATAGGAAAATTTTGGACCGGAATCGGTCGAATTCGAAATTTCCATTTTTTTAAGCTACCTACAATATAAAATACATAATAATATCTATATTTAAAGTCAAAATTTCAGATAAAAAAATTGGAAATTTCAGAAATATTTTTGGGAATTAAAATTGGATCAGAATTAGGAACCAAATATGCATTCAAAATATGTTCCAAAAAAAAATATAGAAAAATCGAAATTCGGAATATAAAATATTGTTCCAAAATCAGAAAAATTCAGATCAGAATCGGCAGAATTTGGACTGACGAGGCTAAATGGAACGGAAGTAAATGCAAAATGTACCTGCAAGGAGCAATATAGTACAAGCTTGTGATAGGGTTAAGTGTTAATCCCTTCTTCTGAAGTAGAACTTGAGTTAGCACCAGCCGAAGAGCTTCAGCAAATATTCCCGTAACTTGATAAACCGTTCCCACTACATTGAAATGAATTTCCCCATACGAAGATATTACAACGCCAAAACTCACTAACAGCATGTTTGCAAACACATCACTTCTTAATTTTTCGGTTCCACAAAAAACAGCCATGACAAAAGTCGCCACTGGCACTGCCATCACGAATTAAAAAAAAAAAAAAAAATCATTAGTAAATTTGTCGAGGATATTAATTTAAAGCAAGATTGATGGGAAATTTATTAAGTTTACTTAGGGCTTTGAGCATCTGAATGAAGGCAACTGAGATGAACAAGTATGCAGTATTTCCAAACCTGTACAGTGATTAAATTCATTAGAAAAGGAAAAAATGTGTATTCAAAATGTCGTTTGAAATAGACTAAATTCATCGAATAATGATTTAAATGAGGTGCTTGAATAACAATGATTATATGCAATTGTGTATTCAGAAAGAAAAAAAAAATTGCAGGGAACAAAATTAATATGCCTCGTCAATAGAGAAAAAATTGCAAATGCAAGATATTTCTCTGCAATAAACCATGCTTACCAAAGACTTGAAGCAAAGAAGGCGCTGATAGGAATTACACATGTTGCATATCTGTAGATTCAACACGGTCATATATTGATTTAAAAAAAAAAAAAAAAAGTAATTTAAATAAGTAATTAGAGTATAAGAGTCTTACATTTCAAAAGTCATCTTCACAGGTGATACAACCTGAAGAAAAAATATATTAGACTACAAGAACGATCGAAAGTTCTCAAGAAAGTTAAAGCAAGAAACAACACAAGAAATTTTTACGTAATCTAAGCAGCAACAAATACTAAGAAAATATTACATAAATAATATGAACCAAGTCAGGACAAGTTGTAAACTCAACTGTACCTTAAAAACACGGATCAAAAAGAAGGCCACCAACCCCGAAAAGCCCATATGAATCATGGTAAGCGTTATAGGAAATGGGAAATTGAAATATTTTGGCGAGAGAACCCACTGCAGAAAAAAAAAAGCAATAGACAAAGAAACGTACGTATTAGCTTACAGATGATGCAAATTTAAACATATGATAGGTACTAATGTGAAAGTATCACAGATTTGTTTCTCTCGCGATCAAGTAAAAGCATCATAATGATCTAACTTAATGTCAAACTCTGGTCGGTCATGAACATGAAACACGTATCCATAGAAAAAAAATATTAAAAAAAATCCAGACCAAATATGTAAGTTTATTTCATAAGAATCGGTATATGAGAAATTAAAGGATGCAACGTATTGGGTGATACCAATAATATTAGTTAAAATGCATGATCGAGACTGGATAAGAAAAAAGATTGAAAAATACAAATATGTATGTCAAGGAAAACGAAGGAAAAAAAGAGATAGCAGGACGAAAGATTATTTACCTTGTTATATAAAATAACTCCAGAGGATAGCAGAATATATACGAAAAGATAAAGGTAGGTCAATATAAGTTGCTTGCTGATCATTGTGCCAACTTATATCCACGAAAGTAATATCAGCTTCTCAAATCGGTCAAGGCTGAAATAATCAAATGAATTATTCTATAAAAGAAGTTTAACTGATCTGAAATGTTATTTTCTGTTTAACACGGTGCTTCTCGTCCTCTTCAGAAAAGATACAAGTGCCATTTTCTGAATGGAATAGCAGCAGCTGCAACACAAACAGTCACGCAAACCTGGTAATTTAGCATTGTGTACAAAATAAAAGATCAGCAAGTAATAGTTAAACCAAAGAAGTGAAACAGGACGGATGGTAATTTAAAAAAAATATAATAATAATAAGTAATTTAAATGACTGCTTCTCAATTAAATGGCAAAGAAATAAGTCATAATTAAATCAGTGGCCTCGACCAACAAGGTTTAAAGTTCGATGACAATGAAGTGTAAAATAATATACGCTCGAGAGTGGTGAAGGCCTAATCTGATGCAATGGAGTGAATAGTTAATGCCGATGAAATTGCTTATCAGTTACTTAGATGGAAATGCCGAACGAAAATAACATAACACATCAACCATATAGAGATAATGGCTACAACGGATCAACTGTTCCCACTTAGAATGATAGATACACGGTACCAAGATTATTGTGTGGAATTTAAAAAAAAAAAAAAAAAAAGAACGATATCGAAATTTGCTATTGACACAATCTATCACCCTGCATTTACTTACGGTTTACTGCCCAATTGCGAAAATACAAGAAAATAATCCCAATAAGAGCCGATAGAGAAGAAAAAAAAAAATTCAAATTGTTTCCATGAATCCCAATAAGAGCCGATAGAGAAGAAAATAATCCCAATACAAGAAAATAATCCCAATAAGAGCCGATAGAGAAGAAAAAAAAAAATTCAAATTGTTTCCATGAATCAACGAAAACCCTGAAGATGCATTTCATGTATAAGCCAGTCTAAGACATAAAAAACAGCAGCCCAGCACTAACATCACCAAAATCATCACTGAGGCAATAAATCAAACACATAGAGTGCATATGCAACAGATGTCATAAAAAATCACAAGAGTCTCAACAAAAGATCGAACAAAAACCTCAGTACGAGCCAATGTAGTTATAATCTCAACTGGGGGCTTCCAAAAATCAGTAAAAAAAACTGCAAATTTCCAAATGGGTTTCCTCCAGAAATCAGTAAAAATGAGGATTCAAAAACCTCCCCACTCGGTGCGAGTTGAGTTAACTCTTTTGGTGCTATACTTTATATAAAGATTTCGGAGAAGAGAAGGGAAATGTGGGAAGAAAAAAAAAGAAAGGGGAAATCTTTGTTGACGGTGATGGCACAAGGAAGAAAAGAACCTCTTCAGATCTCAAGCTGCAGTGCTGCACTTAACTACTGCTAACACTCCTTTGCCTACTCTACATTTCATGACATTTAAAATAATAAATTGTGGATTAATATGAATATTTGTCTTAAGTGTGCATTTAATTTTGGACAAAATGTACTTCACCCCTTATAAATTTCTTATTTTCGCACTTTGTCACTGAAAAAATCAAAAAAGGAATACTTCCCCTTTGAAATATTATTTTGGTTGCACTTTGCCCCAGAAACCAATTTTTGGAGGGCATTGTGCGAAAAAAATTAACATTTTAAAGGGACAACGTGCAAGAAAATATTGTTTTTAAAGGGCAACGTGCAACAAAAATACTCAATTCTGATGAATAATCTATCGGAGTTTTGTTCTGGCGGCAATGTGCAACAAGAATGACATTTTGAAGGAGGACATTCACTATTAAAATTTTTGAGGGGGTAAAGTGCGAAAATTAGAAATTTCCAGGGGGTGATGTGCGATTTGCCCTTTAATTTTACCAATAGTGTTTAGGGCAAATTGCACTTCACCTCTCAAAAATACCTTTTTTGCACTTTTCCCCCTAAAAATACAAAAACGAGACTGTCCCTGACCACAATATACAGCTCGCTGCGCTTTGCCCCAAATCTGTATTTTCCGGTTTAATTATTTTCGGATTTGAGTAAATTGGAAGGGTAATTTCGTCTTTTAAATCTTTAAATGTCATTTAACCTTTTGTTACCTACTTACCTTGCAGTGCAATGATTATGAAGAACAAAGAACAAAGTTTATCGAATTTGGAAGAAAATTTTGTCTAATTTGGAAGCGAATTTCATCAATTTGGGAAGAGAATTTTGTTGATTTGGGAACCCTAAGTAACTCTAAAAAGGAGGATTCTCAAGCGGGAGATGTGAAATGATATATACACTCTTCATTCGGTGAGAATTAGATCGCAAATACATAATTAGGGCAAAGTGCACCGAGTTGTATATTTCGAAGGGGACAGTCTCATTTTTGTATTTTGGGGAGGGGGGAGTGCAAAACATGCATTTTTTAAGGGGGTGAAGTGCAATTTTCCCTAATGTTTATATAAAAAGGGTAAAGTACAACCGTCCCCTAAGTAAGGCTTAATTATGAAATACCCCTTAATTTTCTAGAATTACATCCACCCCCAGAATTTTGTAGATTTTTTACATTAACACCCTTTGTAGGGGGTGGTTGTAAGAAATTTACAACTGCAGGGATCTGGATGTAATTTTTCAAAAAAATGGATTGTTTCGTAATTATACTTTACTTCATAGAGCTGGTTGCAATTTACCCAAAAGTAAATGTTAATTAATTGGGTTTAAAGGATCATTTATTGGTTCAAGAATCGAGATTATTCCATTTTATATTGGAAGTTGAGGCATTTTTTATTAAAGATTTGCAAAAGAAATATTTTATGTTTGATTTTGAATTGTAGGTTACGGTTAGGAAAAAATAAATTTCACTTTAACACTCAAATCATGTCATAGAGTAAAAGATATTTTTAGAAAAATAAAAGATAAATAAAAGAAGTTTTAAATTAACTTGAAGAAATAGTGTTTGTATGTTAATTGCTACACATTTAGGTGGTGTTTGCTAACGCTTTTCCAAAGTGATTGTGAGTTTTTTTGTTCAAAATCAGTTTTTTCTAAACATTAAAAAAGTCATAATCACTTTGAAAAAACGTTTGCAAACACCAAGCTATATTATCACTAGTAAAAAATCGAACTTACTATTGTCTTGTAATTATTTAGGTTAAACGAAGAGATTGTTGTATATCGATATTTAACAGTGTAAAAAAAAATCACTTTAACAATCGAATCATGACATAGAATAAAAGATATTTTAGAAAAAGAAAAAAATAAATAAAGAAGTTTTAAATTAACTTGAAGAAATAGTGTTTCTATGTTAATTGCTACATTTTTAACTATATTAGCACTAGCAAAAAATCGAACTTAATATTATCTTGTAATTTATATCGATATTTAATAGTGTTAGAACTAGAACCATAATTAATCTAGTGTGATTTACGTCTGTTTCGTATGGTTTGCAAACTATTTATACAAGAGTGTAGGTTTACACAGTGCACCTACATAGTTATCTGCGGATTCCTTCATACCGGAAAAAAAGGAACTAGAACTGAGGTTGAAAATTCAATGGATTGGATTATACTTTAAAAAAACTCTAATTTTCTTTGAAAGTGAAAAATTAATTGTAATTTCCCTTAAAAATGAAATAAGTGAAATCGCAAAAAACTGGAACCAACAAATTGTTCAAATATTAGAAATTTTCGGATCGAAATTGACAAAACTTGAAATCTTATTTTTTATTCACCTATATTGTAGATACATTAATATTGATATGCCAATTGTAATTTCTTTTTTTAAAAAAAAATTGGAATTTTCGAAAGAAAAATATGTAACCATAACAATCCAAGAAAATTGGAGAATCCAAAAAAAAAAAATAGAATTCTCGAAATTCGAAATGAAAATTTTTGTTCCAAAATTGGAAATTCTAGATCGACGGAATTTGGAAATTTATTTGCACTATCCCTAAAAATAATATCTAACGGTGTTAGAATTTTAACATATGACTTTTAAAAATTAGGGGTCATTAAATGTTTTTTCCTGTAGTTTAGGGAGTAATTCGATAAAAAGAAAATCTGGGTCGTTTTGTATGTTTTGATAAATTTAGGGGTAAATGCGATAATAATTATAATATAGAGGAGGAAAGTGTATTTAAACCTTTGAATTTAGGAAGAAATATCGGCTCTTAATTATCCAGTTCTTTTAAGCTTCTCCGAAACAAATTTACCTCGCATCAGATTTTTTACACTCTACTTCAGTCGTCTGCTCCACCTGGCCACCTCCTTGAACCGCCGTGCACCACCGCCGCCGCCACCACCACCACCACCACCACCAAATGCGCTGCTGCCACTTGCTGATTTGAGGTTAGGTTTATCAAAACTGCATCCGTTTGTTTATGCCGGTGCTACTAAAATACGCCATTTTTATTTTTCTTATGGAAGATTGCGTTCGGTTACCTATGCTTTATGTTCTAGGTTTACCAATTTCGAGAATTTATTCGGCGCATTTTTTCGTGAATTATCGATTAAAATTATTTCTAGGAATTTAATAATTATCTCTAACGCAGAAGAAATCAATTGATTAGGAAGAACAAATACTCACTGTTGGATTAATCCCCTATTGGTTAACTAATTGATTAGTTACTAATACGTTTGGTTATTTAGATTACATCTTATATTAAATTTGTTAGATTCTGTTATTATATAAGAATTGTGTATAAAGTCTTTTATTTAACAAAATTAAGCTATTGTTTGAAGGATAAAATTGTAATTTTCTGTTTTAGTCACCGCCTTGAAAATTAATCGCGGGGGAGGGGTGTTACTAATTTGAGGACGTAGTAGCACTTACTTGCGGGCTTGAGTAATGTTGAATCATACCAATCAAACATCTTACTAGCTCCTACTATTTTGTCAATCTAACCTAATAGTAGCAAGCAAACGAATATTTTGAAGCTTCTTCGAATTCGGTTCAGTTTTTCTTTTCCGCAATTTGTTATATTTGTAACAGTGATGGTCTAAATGAAATTAGTAGTAGAAAAAGAATGTTCATTGTTGTTCTATTTATCAAGACTGTATAATAGTGGCTTTTGTTTGAATTGTCGGTACAGCATTTGCAAAATTAATATTTTAGTTCAAGTTATGAATAGAAATTTGTTTAGTTTTGTCTGAACTTACTAAGTTGATATATAACGGAACAAAAAACAGAAGAAAAAGGAAGCATTTTTGCATAAGCAGCTTTCGTTCGTCTGTTTAAGCCGTAAATAACTGGGTGTAATCCAAAAACCATAAACAATTACTCAACATATTTTCATAATATTATCGAATTGGGATGATTTTTATTTTTCAAAATTATTTTATTTGTAGCGTGTGTAACAGAATGGTTGCAATATTTATTAAAGTTGTTGTTCCATTTTAATTTCGAATTCTTCAGTCTTTAGGTAATAAATAAATAAATAAAGAAATAAAAAGATTTATACTATTATTTGTATTGATGAGATGAAAATGTATATGCAGGTAATTAACAGAGTAAAACAAATGGAAATGTCGTGTGCATATACACAATGCTCGTGTTTCACTACATGGAAGGAGCAAACTTCTTCTTTGCGTCCACTCTCTGCAGCTCAATTTCCAGCGATGCCTCAAATTAATGTAAAAAAACTTAATTGTAATCAAAAGCTACGGCGTCTGCCTACGGTAGCGTTGGCACAGAAAACCGACACAAGTACGAGGAATGAAGATAATAGCAATGTCGTTCTAAACGAAAAGTCCGCCAAAGGTTCGGGGACTTCAGCAAGAGGTCGCCGTTTGCTGAAAGTTCGTGAGGAAAAACGGAAACGTGATTATGACCATAAGCACAATTATCCTGCTTGGGCAAAGTAATTTTTTGCTTTTTTTTTTTTTTTTTTTTTTTTTGTTTCTTTGATTGTATTTTAATATATTGTATTGAATCATGTGCAGGGTGTTGGAAGATGCGTGTAGAAATGATTCCGAGCTTAAAGCTGTTTTAGGAGATAGCATTGGAAACCCTGAACTCATGAGAAAAAAGGTGAGTTAGTGTTTGTTTGAACTGTGTCCTGTTGTTAAACGATAGGATTTGACCAATGGCTGAAAACTGTGTTGACCGTTCATTTTTGGGTTGACTCGAAAAGTTTCAATTCAGTGTTGTGGAGAAAAATGTTCGTCTATATATTATTTTTTTGCGTTCTGTTGATATTTCTTGTTTTGGTGCTTATATATAGTTAAAATTTACATTGTTATCACACTCTAAGGAACTTCCGAATAAGAATCTTATCTCAGAATAAATTTACGACAAAAAAAAAAGTTGGTTTGGGTTCAGAAAGTATAAAAATGAATTATCTGTGATTTGCAATGTAATCGAGGAGCGTTGATTGAAGACTTACATAATGGCCGATAAATCATCATTGTTTCATGTAATAAGGACCACACTGTAACTTCTACTATGAATTTAAGTGTAAAGTAAGATTTTCGAGCCCTTTCAAGATAGTTGGGAAGTGCTTCATTGACTGGAGCTGTTGACTTACTTAGCTGCATATTTTCCTGGCCCGACATGCTGAAATACTTACATTCACTAGTTTTTATTAATAAGCTAACACATAAGTGCATACTTAGGCTTTGTAAGTGTTATACGCTCTGTGCAAAATCTATCGTCTTTGTGTTCTTGTAATTCCGGTCTTATATTATTGTTGTCTTTAATGTCATTGAAGTCCATCTTCTTTTGGAACAAAATGGGGTGAATTACAACCACCTCCTGAGGTATGGTCAAATTACGAAAAAACCCCTCATGTTTGGATAATTACATCTACCCTTCAACTATGAATCTTCTTACATCTCCACCCTTATGGTGTCAAATTCAACATAATCATCTAGATTCCGTGGAATGTTCTCTAGTTTGTACTCGTTATGAGCAAAAAAACAGTTTCTGATGCACCACAATATGATATATATACAAGCCAAAAAACATATCTTATGATCATCTAGCTTCAAAATGTGGAGCTCGAATGTGATAAAACGGGTCGAAAATCGAGAATATTCCATATAATCTAGAAGATTCTACTAAATTTGAAACCGCAAGGGTGGATGTGTAAGAACATTTATAGTTGAGGGGGTTTTCGTAATTTGACCATATACCTCAGGGGTGGTTGTAATTTACCCAACAAAATGACAAAATGTACCTTTGCGAAGATATTTTTTGGTTTCAGAATGTAACTTTGTTTTGTCTATGTTCGACAGGTTGAAGAAAGAGTTCGGCAGAAAGGGAGAAGTTTCCAAAAATCTAAATCCGGATCCGTCGTTGCATTCAAAGTTAGCTTTAGAGAGTAATACCTTTTACTTCCATCTAGTTTATGCTTCTCCATTTAATCATAACAAATTTGTCACATATTCCGTATTTCTTTTGCCTTTGTCGCTTTCGTAATCCAGTCTGGAAACCAATATACTGAAATATTCTTCGTTAACTAGTGGAAGAAAAATGAAAGATGTTGTATATAATATACACGTTTACCATTCACGTTAAACAAATCATTATCTGTATAGAGAAGATCACTTGACCTAAATTTTTTGGATGAATTATCTTCATTGTTCGAGATTTTCCTGATCTAATTTATTATAATCGTCGATACATATTAATATATGATTATAAATTCTATTTCTATGATTTGCAGCTTTAATCCGCTTGATTCCTACATATGGTTTGAGTTATACGGATCGCCTTCTGATCGAGATGTTGATCTTCTTGGCAGTGTATGTATACTCTCTCTCTCTCTCTCTCTCTCTCTCTCTCTCTGTATATATATATATATATATATATATATATATATATATATATATATATATATATTGTTTCTTGTTATTCTTTGTAGTGAGCAGTATCTCCAATCACAAGCCTTAATTAATATCAGTGTGTAACTTTTGCAACAGATTATTCAATCATGGTATGTGATGGGTCGCCTAGGTGCGTTCAATTCATCCAATTTACAGGTTCGCCCTTCTTCAGATATATATATGTTTCTTGAAAACCACATGTTCATTGTTCGTTTTGCAAAAAAAAACAAAAATGAAAATTGTACAATAAACAGTTGCATTTCCGGTATAGTAGTTTTCCGAATTGACAATAAAATGATAAGTGTTCAAGAAAAAAAAGGATGGTAAATAATCTCGTAACTGATGCAGTTGGGAAACTCGTCAATGGAGTACGATCCACTGTATGATGAAGACAAGGGTTTTAAAGTGATGCCTTCGTCGTTTCATGATATAAGTGACGTTGAATTCCAAGACAATTGGGGCAGAGTCTGGTATGAGATTTCGGTTATGCCTTTCATTTGTTTTATCTAGGGCAAATTACGGCCATCCCCCTGAGGTATGGTCAAATTACGAAAAAACCCCTATTGTTTGGGTAATTACAGTCACCCCCTCCTTTTAAATATTTTTACATAAAATTTATGTAATTCGGTTATTTACCGAACCAAATTGTATATTCAGTTTGGTAAACGGTATTAAATGTTGGCATACCGAAATTTTGGTTCGGTTTTACTGATTTAACATCCCTAAATTTACCTCTGGAGGGATATTTTCGTAAGATAATACATAGTTAAGGGGGTGACTGTAATTACCCAAACAGGAGGGGAGGTTTCGTAATTTGACCATAACTTTGGGGTGGCCGTAATTTACCCTTTTATCTATAATGTCATAATCTATTCTGGACTTTCTTATTAATTACTGCCGTTTTTTTTGTAAATGTGGTTACAGGGTAGATCTGGGTACAGCTGATTTCTTTTCAATAGATGTTCTTCTCAATTGCTTGACTGTATTAAGCTCAGAGTAAGCCTTCCATTGTTTTTGTCGAATAATTTAGTGTTGAATCGTAATAATGTGACTGTGCATTATAATTAAATTTACACGAACTGTCTTTTGACGGCAGATATTTGGGCATCCAACAAGTAGTTTTTGGTGGGCGGAGGATGGGAGACTGGGAAGATGGGATGACGAGTCCCGAATACGGTTTTAAGTCCTTCAAAATATGAAAAATTTTGGCGGGAAGAAATTGTTATAAAGTTTCATAAATGTTCCTCTTAACTATTGGCAGGAGTACTTCATCTTTATGTTAACTCTTGTTGGATTTGATTTAATGCATCGATTTTTTGCTCGACGTGTTCTTCTACAGCATTTTCTCCCTCTTGTCGAACATAAAGTATAAGTCAACATTTCGGACAAAACAAGTGGATCTAGTGGGCAATTAGGGAGATTTGCTACTGTATTCGAAAGGTTACACAAGATCCCTTGTAGGCTGTAGCGGCTTAAGTGATTTTTTTTTTTTTTTTTAATACTATTATTATATAATTATTGTACTATATTTTGAATAATGTAGTACTGTAGTCTTCCAAATTCTTTTTCTATGGTAAGGGTAGTTTTGTCATTGTAATGTAGCCAATAGCAAAATGCAAAATCTGATTTTAAGGGGCCGTGTCAGGGGTGTGAACGAGCCGAGATCGATTGTTTTGGCAGGCTCGAGCTCGAGTCCATCTTGTCGAGCTTGAGCTCATCGAGTATTTTTTTTTTTTTTTGGCTTGAGCTCGAGCTCGAGCCCAAGCTTTTACAGCAGCGACGGCAAAAGTTCTCAACCCAGCCCCCTCCTCCGTCAACCTCCCCCTAGGAAAGTAGAAGGGATCTTGTTCCCCGATCTTTGGCTGGCTGCCTTGCTTTGCACAAGGCTTTTGCTGCAAATATGAACTTTTGGAGACAGAAGTTTTTGTAGTGTACTTTATTTAGAAAGAAAACACAAATACAACGGCCGGACCTCCAAAATTCCGGGCTAAACCATTTCACGAAGAAGAAAGATGCGACATGGGAAGAAGAAAAACGGCCAAAACTTCGATAAATTCTTACACTTGCGAATTCGAATCCCATCAAAAAGAGTTTGTATATATCATCAATCAAGAAATAAAATATGGTAAATTCGACAAAGTAGAAAAATAAGTATACTTAAATTTCACTGAGCATTAGTTGGCATTCGTTAGCTAACCACTTCGACCTTGGGGATATGGGAAATCTTGGGCCACTCAGAATCATCATCATCATCATTGTCGTCATCTCCATCTCGTCTCCGTTTTAGATTTAACAGCGGACAATAATAGATGCCTAACTCGGTTAATTTTGTGAGGCGTTGCATGGCTTCCTTAGACGGCAGACGGCAAAAGTTCCTACAGTGGGATATTAATAATCTCTGTAGAGATGAGGACAAGTTGTTGTTGTTCCCAAGCCAATCCGACAATGCTTCCATCTCTCCAAAACCAGTTAACCACAGCCTAGAAAGAGCAGTGAGATGTTGAAGTGAATCCGGTAGATCCCGGCTACGCTCCGTCCCCCGCAATGTTAATTTACGAAGAGATTTGGTTGATGCTTTCAAGACGGCATCGACAATATCCGTCCAGTCTGAATCTGACTGGTCGCACGTCGTGGTTACATCCAGTATCCTGAAGCCAAGAGGCAAACCAATCTCCGAGGAGGAATTAATGACCAGCGTCGCTGTCGGAACACCAACAATTGACAAACGTGATAGACAGGGCATTTTATGCAAACAATACCCAATCATCGTTCCCATATCCATCCTTAAACTCCCTAAACCCCGCAGATGCAAATCCTCGAGGGACAACTCACACGACTCCATCATTTCTCTTTCCAAATCGACCAGCCCTTCGCAGCTAATAACACTCAGTTCGCGAAGGCAACTCAATCCTAGTAATAATTGCCGATCGTGTGATTCATGTGGATATGGTATTGCCTTCAGATTTGGGCAGCTTTCTAGTCTAAGTATCTCAAGAGCACTGAGGCTGTGTAGATCATATGGTAATTCTCTCATATTCGGACAATCGTCTATAATCAATACCTCAAGAGCACTGAGGTGGCGTACATCATCCGGTAATTCTCCGAGCTTCGAACAACTCTCTTCATGTATCTCCCTGATTACAGAGGTGCCGCTGCGTCGGAAGCAGGAAACTAGATGCGTTAAGTTGGGACATCTTCGTATTTCCAACTCCCTGAGATTTCGATTGTTGTGGAATAGCCAATCCGGGAGGCACATCAATCCATCGATTGAATTAATTTTCAGTCTTGTCAGCGAGATTAATGTCATCCCACATATACTTGCCAGAGGTAATCCACTGTCCATTCCATAAATCTCCAATTCTTGAAGGCATGGAAAATGACTCGGAGCACTCTTCAATTTCGTGCAACTATCAACCATCAAGTATTCAAGGCAAGGAAATACAACCGGTAGTTGATTCTCGGCTCCATTTGGCAATTCTACTTCTAACCACTCCCTCAGCTCTGACATTCCCCGCAACTCGAGCCTTTCAAGAGCCGGAAACACATTAAATAATGTGCTCTTGGAAACTCCGATACTTGATGTACTGCCGCAGTTGTCATCAACTCCGTAGAATGACGAACCTATGGATTTCACATTAGCCAGATTATGCAGGTAAAGATTCTTGAGATGTGGCAAGTGTCCTAGCGTTGGGAGTTGTTCGCATTCCGTGCAACTTTCAAGTTTTATCTCCATCAATTTATTAAGCCCAGAAATATTACAATACCATGGCGGAAAACGTCTTCCTCTGAATCCATAAATTTTTAAGCTCTTTAAATCAGGGTGAGGTTGGAGGCCTTCCAAAACAATTTCATCATTATTTTCACCTTTTCTATCTTCATCCCACGTAAGCTTTAACTTGAATATGGTTGGCTTATGCAATAAATCTGCGCTCGTAGCCTCTTCCTTGCTTTGCACCTTTTCAAGATTATAAATCTCTAGTTCCCCTACAAGATTTTTCAAGCTCCTAAGTTCACCAATTCCACAACCCTTTTCATCGCCCACTCCAAAGTACGGTAGTGTTCGAAGAGAAGTTAGTCTTGCCATTTCAGGGGGTAATTCTATTCGAGGAATGTGGAGATGTCTTAAGCCAGCCAAGTGTCTCGTTGTTGTTGGCAGCTTCTCCAAAAGATTACATACTCTTAATGTCTGCAAGTGATAGAGTTCACCAACAGAGTCCGGTAAACATTTAATTCTTGTGCGTGAAATGTCAAGACATCTCAAATGTATTAGCTCTTTAATAGTACTTGGCAACTCTTCACCACCATCACTCATCAGAATTAGAACATGCAGCGATTTGAACTCTGAGAACATGCGTGCACATATTTCACCATTGAACAGTAACGAACGAAGACATCTTGCTTGTTCGTTTGGGATATCACTCGATTCAACACTAATAGATTGCAAACCCATGTACCGAACTTGATCATTTATCCTTGAATTTAAAATAGAGGATGCTAGATCATGAACAAGATCATGCATGTTGTAATACGTTATATCGGTATAGAGTCCACGGACACTTCTCCCAAATTGTAACAACGAGTTTTGTAAAAGAAGATTAAAGAATTTGCCGCCCATGCTCTCCATATCATCATTACCTCCGAGAAATCCCTCTGCCATCCAAAGCCCAACCAATTGTTCCTTTTCCAAATCAAATCCTTTAGGAAATATGGAACAATATGCAAAACACCTTTTGAGTGATGGTGACGACAAGTGATTAAAACTCAGTTTCAAAATATTGGAGACCAAATTTTCATCTCCTAAATCTGAGAGCCAATTCTTTTCAATAGAGAGCCACTCATCAATCGATTTACCACGCAAAAATCCCCCAACCACGTTGGCCGCCAACGGCAAACCTTGGCATCTTTTTGCAATAGATACCCCAATGGCATTAAATTCTGATCCAACATTACTTCGTGGAAAGGCTTTTGCTTTAACTATGGACCAACACGCATCTTTTGACAAGTCTTTTAGTTTATGAATACCAAGTGTAGCCACCAATGAAGCAACATTTTCAAGTCGCGTAGTAACCATGATGCCATTTCCTGTAGTACAACTAATATTTCGCAAGGAATTAATAAAATCATCCCATTTTTTCCGATTTTCGTTCCAAACATCGTCGAGCACAAGTAAAAATCTTTCGGTTCCCAATTTTTTCTGAAGCTTTTCAAGAAGAGCTTGTTTATTTCCAAGTTCAATGTTCTTTCCCGTTAAGGATGTAAGAATCTTTTTGAAAAGAATCACGACATCGAAATTTTCAGAGACGTGCACCCAAAAACGGTTAGCGAAATGAGTTTTTATTGTTTCATGATGAAACACTTCACGAGCTACCGTTGATTTTCCGAGCCCCCCCATCCCGACAATCGGAAGGATAGAGAATACATGATCACCATTTGGAGGAGTAGTCATCATCTTCACAATTTCGGACACGTCATTTTCTCTTCCAAGAAAAATTGGATCGTTACCGAACGAATCAGTTTCTCTGCCAACAGATGGGCCTTGTGATCCATCAGCTCCTGCCACTATGTTTTGAAGGCCATAGTTGCTTGCCTCTTTGTTGATCTCTTTCAAATTTTTATTGATATCCTCGATTTTATGTGCCATTTTTAGACGACGAATATTGCGTGGGAAGAAGAATCGTACCTTTTTCTTGATTTTGTGTTGGGTATGATGATGAATTGTTTCGGAGAGATGTTGATAGTCGAGCTCATCCAAAACATTATCGGCATCGAAAGCGACACCTTCGAGCTTATGCAACCAGAGTTTGACGGTTCCGTTGGTGATTTGCTTGTTCTCCGCATCGATCAAGAAACTTTGAATCATGGTGATTGAACTTCTTAGCTTTTTTAGGTCTTTCTTGAAATCTCGGAAGAGGTCGATCTGCTTCTCCAGAACTGAGATCAGTCTTGGAAATAAAACTTCAAGGGCGGCTCCAACCGGAGCTGCTTCCATTCTTTCAATTCCTTGAGTGTGTGAGTTTGTGTGTGTGTGTGTGTGAGAGAGAGAGAGAGAAGAGAGAGAGAGAGAGAGAGAGAGAGAGAGAGAGAGAGAGAGAGTTGTGAGATTCAAAAGTAGGACATGCAGATCAATTATTGATACGTATTTAAATGCTGAAAATCATTACCAAGAGGCAAGAAATATATATTGAAAAACGAAAAATCATTTAATACACTATTTGATCTTAGAATGCCAATATTTCAATTTAACTAATTAACCAAAGTTGAATTCAAAATTAATTAGATATGTTCCAATATTGTTTACCTTTCACAAAAGAGAAAGTCAATGGCGAAGACGTGTTAAATCATGTTGTAGTTAAATAATGATACTACCTACCATGCATAATATTTCCTCAAATACTACAAAAGTCGTCTCATTGACTTCATCTTCTAGTTTCTATAGCTATTTAGATTAAGGATAATTAGCAACACCCCTAATTGGAAAATTTATGTAAAAACAATCTCTAAAAATATTAATTAGAGAAAATCCCTTTAATCGACTATGTTGAGTTGTCGGTTAATGTTAATTGCTATATCTTTTGATTCATTTTCAGATTTTTGGATATTGATCAATTATTTCGTCAGGCGTAGTTGGACTTGGGGCACATGGGTGGTGTGTTTTGTCAATCCATTGTCCATTTGTATAAATTAATACAATTTTTGTATATTGGTTATTTTGTATAATAGTTCATTTTGTTTAGTTGTTTTTGTTATTTGTTTCTGTTGGTTATTTGTTTGGATTCTTTTAGTTGAATTGTATTGGGCTTTTATTGACAACATTACAATTGTTGTTATTACTTTTAGTAATCAATTTCATTGTTCAACTACAATTTTAGGAGTTAGTTTGTTAATCGACAATGTCTTAGTTGATTAGTACACTTGACAGAAAAAAAAAAAAAGTTGTGTTTCAATAATTCAACCTTTTTGGTCATTTTTCATCAATTAACCTAATTCAACCTTTTTGGTCATTTTTCATCAAGTAACCGTTAGACTGTCAGTTAAGAAAGTGGACGGCACATACTTGATTATGTTAATAGTAAAGAAAAATCAACGGAAATAACACAAAATGTTAAATTGTTAAAACATGAAGGACTAAATTTTTGGGTTTTTTTGTAAACAAGGGGACCAAATATGTAATCGAGGTTAAATTTAGGGGAAAAAATCGTAATTTAAAAAAACTTATAGAGTCTAGACCCAATCCTCTCTCTTCCATACAATCCACCCTTGGACAATGGTGAATTTCAAAGGTAAAATATCAATTACTTCTTTTAACATTCCAACTTCTGAGGTCGTTTTTCTATTAGTACTAACGGAACCAAGCATGTGCCTATCACCTTTTTAACTGATGGACTAACAGTGAATTGACAAAATGATAAAAAAAATATTAAATTATAGAAACACGAGGGACCAAAATGTTTTTTGCGAACATGAGGTAGCAAATATGGAATCAGTACAAACTTAAGGGACGAAAACTATAATTTTCCCCTAAAAAATAAAGACTTAATAGAGTCTAGACCCAATCCTCTCTCTTCCACACAAATACAATCGACCCTTCGACGAAAATGGTGAATTTGGAAGGTAAAATATCAATTACTTGTTTTAATATTCCAATATCTGATCTGAGGTCGCTTTCGAGGATCTATCTGCTCTATTTCAGAACCTCATCCTACATCCTCCTACCTCTGTCAGATACAATACAATCATCTCACACACAGTAGACACGCATTGAGCGTGAGAGAGAGAGAGAGGATAGAGAGTGGTGCTATGACGATGTCTTCACTGGCGAGAATACCGTTGACTTCTCTGTTTACGGCCGTTGACAAGTCGGAACTCTGTTCGCCGGAATTTTCCGCCGCCGGACGGTGTCGTTTCGGATCCAGAAAGTGGGGTTGTAACAAAGGTATTAGCATTGGCTACGGTAATGGAGGAATTGTGTGTAAAGCGGCGTCTGTCGAGCCCCGGGCGGTGATTGAAGGGCTCAGCATTGCTGAAGATGTAAGCCAGGTGAGATTATCATTTCTCTCTCCTCTCTTCTCTCTCTCTATGAATTGGAGTAACATTAGTGTGTGCTTAATTATTTGGATTGAAAGTTATTCTTGGGTGAATTTGTAATTATGATATATGTGTCCATGGTTTTGAATTTGGGGAATTATGCAACGTCAAATCACATTCTTTTTACTTATAAGAAAAACAATTTCAAAAATTGGAAAGCACAAAAGTTGTATATTTATTTATGGGCTTTCCATCCCGACTTGAATCATTTTCAATAGTAGTTAGTACGAGAAAGTTGTGATAAAATAAATTACAAAAAATATTTTATAGTGATTTTGCTCATAATTCGCAAAACTTCAATGTTCTAGTTGTAGTGGTAAGGTTTACCGGGTAAATAACCCTTGGATATTGGGCCTCGAATTTTATGACAAACACCTAAATATAAAATATTTCGAGTTAAATTTTCATCGTCTTCTTATTTTTCACTTGAAAAAATTAAGTTAAACATGTATTTCCAGTTTTCTTTTTTTCGTATGAAGTTGAAGGTTCTCTTTCGTGCCACAAGTTTGCACCAATTTTGGTCGCCATGTTAAAAAAACACATTATGTTTCAATAATTTGACACTTTTGGTCATTTGCGTCAATTTACTGCAGTTAAGAGAGTGATGACAGATAAGAGAGTGATGGACACATGCTTGATTGCGCTAGTGCTAACAGAAAATTGACGGAAATGAACAAAGGTGTTAAATTATTGAAACATGAAAGACTAAATATTATGGAAATGACCAAAAGTGTTAAATTATTAAATAATTTTTTTTTTTGAACATGGACCAAATGTGAAATCAACGTAAACTTAAAGATGAAAGTAGACATGTGTTTTTAATATATAAATAATGGGGATTGGAATGATACTGCGGTCTAGCTTCTAGATTAGATAGTTCTGTTCTTGGATTGGAATGCTGGCAGCTTCACCGTGGATTAGGGGAGATGGTGCGGATTCATCTACTTTGATTTCCATTTCATTATTTTCACTATTTTATACTTTCTAACGACTATAGCTAATAGAGCAATTGGATTTTGATTTTTTGATGCAAGATGGGTAGAAGTAAGTTCTTACATGACCTTCTCTTTTTTCCGCTACCACTATTTATTGATTTGATTTTTTCATTGGATTACAAAATCATCATCTTTTTTGTTGTTTTATGATTAGTTGTACTGGGAATCAGAAAATAATTATGCACGGACCAAAATCTTGTAATTTTTCCTGTTTTTATTTTTGTTGTAATTGTATGCTAAATTATGGAGAAGATGAGATATTGTAGAAATGCTTTAATTGCTTGAACATATTTGATAGTTACAAATGAATCACAAAGTTCCTTTTTATACTACTCCACTTAGTATGGTGGTGATCTAACAAGCACCACTACTATTTCTCTAGAACACTACAAACAATTTCTAAAAATATTTACATAGGAGAAGCTTCCAGTAACTCTCTAGAATGTTCCAAAATCCTTACAGAAAATGTAGAAGTGGGTCTACTTGGGCCATTTTCTTAGGTTTAGTAATGGGCTGGCCTCGCTGGATCATAAAAACTCTTGACACCAAGAAATTGTGCTGTGTTTGTGCTCATAATAGTTCTCCCGCCTTTACTTTGTTTGTAGTAGTTTAACCAAATTTGTTTTAAATCCATAAATTTCGAACTTAGTGAGCATATCGGAAGTATAATTTGAAGTCTATATTAATATAGGTAGTACCTAAACAGTCGCATGCATGACTTCCTTAGTACATGAGTTCATTTGGTTCGTGTATGACCTTTCTCACAGAGTTCATGTACTACTACTTAGGTTCAAATATTTTATTTTAAATATAAGTATTAGGTTGGATTCATGTTGCATTTATCCTATAAATACTCATGTAATCTTGCCATTTGAGATATGAAAATTCAAGCACTATTCTAGCAATCTGAGAGGTCCTTACAAATCTCATAAGGTAATCTAATGTGAATTTGCATTGTATTTCGATCTAACAAAGTTCGTAGATGTGCTTTATCCATCTAATGGGTACCTACATTTTTAGATGCATTCATGATTTTAGATATATGCAATCAGTGACATCATTTTTTCGTGTTTCCTGTCATCTATAATTTTCTTGCTACATCATATTTTTGGTAGTCTTATGCATTAGTTTATTTATTTGTTAATTTTGTTTCAATGTTCGATGCTCTATAACAGCTTATCGGGAAGACACCTATGGTTTAGTTGAATAGAGTTGTAAAAGGCTGTGTTGCGAATATAGCTGCAAAGCTTGAGATTATGGAGCCATGTTGCAGTGTCAAGGACAGGTGAGAGAGCAATTTTCGTTTCACATTCTAACTTTAGTGGGAAAATTACAGTTTTCATCCTCAAGTTTGCACTGATTTCACATTTGTTCCCCCTATGTTCACAAAAAACACATTTGGTCCCTCATGTTTCAATAATTTAACAGTTTTGGTCATTGTTCGTCAATTTACCGTTACTCCATCCACTAAGAAAGTGATCGGCACACGCTTGATTCCGTTAGTACTAACGGAAAATCCACTAAGAAAGTGATCGGTGAACATAAGGGACCAAATGTGAAATCAGTGCAAACTTGAGGGACAAATATTGTTATTTTCCCGAACTTTAATATATGCTGCATAAGATAATCACTTCATCATTGAGCTAAAAACTAGTCTTCATTATTCCTTTGACGGCTTTAATCGTATATTTCTTTCACTTTTCAGGATAGGATACAGTATGATAACCGATGCTGAACAAAAAGGGCTTATAACTCCCGGAAAGGTAAGATGGTGAACCATAACTTTTTTTTTTTTTAATAAAAATTAATGTTAATGATTTTAGTATTTAGTGACTGTGTAATAAATTTGACTATCTGCTAGACTGTTTTGGTTGAAGCTACAAGTGGAAACACGGGAATCGGTCTTGCGTTTATAGCCGCATCAAAAGGGTACAAGCTTATACTGACAATGCCTGTATCGATGAGTCTTGAGAGAAAGGTTCTCTTGAGAGCTTTTGGAGCCGAACTTATTTTGACCGATGCAGCCAAAGGTGTGAACGAAGCTATTCGAAAAGCTGAAGAAATAGTGAAGAATACTCCAAATGCTTATATGCTTCAACAATTCAACCACCCCGCGAATCCCAAGGTTATTTTTTTTTTTTTTGCTTACATCCTTCTAACTTGTTTGGTTTTTCGTGGGTAAAAATAATTTTCTTGCATCCGATTTTGGAATAATATTTTTCACTCAGAATTCCAAAAGTTCGGATTTCTGATTTTTGGAATGGAATTGGATTACATGCTAGATTCTGATTTTCGATCCAATTTTAATTTATGAGAAAAATTTTAAACTTATAATATCAATATTATTATCCATTTATAGGTGAATCGGTGACTAGAAAAATGGAAATTCCAAATTCCGCCAATACCGATCCAAAGATTTTCGATTTTGGAATAAGTTTTTTTATTTTAATTCAGAAATTCCGATTTCTGATTTTCCTAACGGAATCAGAAAAAAATGTTATTTTCAATCCAATCCATCCGATTTCCGCCCCTACTATTGATGGATTCTTGAAACATCATAGTATCAATCATTACAATATTTTGTGATGTGTTCACATTATTTTGATGGTATCTGATACATACCATAAAACCGTACTTTTGGATTTATACAACATTTAAGACGAGCGTTATGGGGATGTATTCTACTTACATAATAGACGCGAATATATATATATATATATATATATATATATATATATATATATATATATATATATATATATATATATATATATATATATATATATATATATATATATATATATATATATATATATATATATATATATATATATATATATATATATATATATATATATATATATATATATATATATATATATATATATATATATATATATATATATATATATATATATATATATATATATATATATATGTATATATATATATATATATATATATATATATATATATATATATATATATATATATATATATATATATCTATATATATATGTGTGTATATATATATATATATATATATATATATATATATATATATATATATATATATATATATATATATATATATATATATATATATATATATATATATATATATATATATATATATATGTATATATATATATACACACACACATATATTTATTCATTTCTTTTTTCAGATTCACTACGAAACCACTGGCCCGGAGATATGGGAAGATACGAAAGGCAAAGTGGACATACTCGTCGCAGGTATCGGCACCGGCGGAACTATTTCGGGGGTCGGTCGTTATCTCAAAGAACACAATCCTAATATAAAGGTAAAAAAAAAAAAAAAAAGAAATTCCTAATATAAAGGTAGCGTATATATTTTATTTTCGATAAGCTCTACTATATATAATTGCTATTATTTATTTATTTCATTGCATGCTATTATTTGATTAGGTTATTGGCGTGGAGCCCACAGAGAGCAACGTACTATCCGGTGGAACTCCGGGTACGATATAATTTATGTTTTGTAATTTACGAGTATAAAATTGCGGTTTTTTTTATTAGCATCTGTAATTTGAAAATGCAGGTCCGCACAAAATTCAAGGGATTGGGGCCGGTTTTGTACCGAAAAATTTGGATCTAGATGTGATGGATGAAGTTATAGAGGTCCGTTTCGACCCACTTAGCATTTTATATATAGCTTCTAAATTAAAGGGCAAATTGCACATCACCCCTAAAAATTTCTAATTTTTGCACTTTACCCCCTTAAAATTTTAAAAAGTGAATGCCCCCCTTCAAGATGTTATTCTTGTTGCACATTGCCCCCATATCAAAATTTCAATGGATTATTGATCGTAATTGAGTATTTTTGTTGCACATTTCCCCTTCATATGTTATTTTTGTTGCATGTTACCCCTTAAAAACACTATCTTTTTGCACATTGCCCCTTTAAAATGTTATTTTTGTTGCACAATGCCCACCAAAAATTGGCTTATGGGGCAAAGTGCAACAAAAATAATACATTGAAGGGGGAATATCTAGTTTTTCAATTTGTAGGGGGAAAGTGCGAAAATGGGAAATTTGTAGGGGGTGAAGTTCATTTAGTCCGAAATTAAATTATATATATATATATATTATCTGCTATTTTGTCTAAATCATGAAATTATTCGGATCTTGTTTATTACTTCTGAGTTAGTTTGATATTTGATTTATCGTTCATAGTGAATTTGAATCGAACCATTTTAAAGTTACTTATTGTATTTGTTTTGTTGCTAGATATCGAGTGACGAAGCAGTGGAAACGGCCAAGCAATTGGCTCTTCAAGAGGGCTTAATGGTTAGTGCTATATTCGGAACGAGTACTATTTAAATATGTAGGAAGTAAATTACATCTTTCGATTTGAACTAGATTTGAGTTACTGTAGTGTGGGGTCGTTTAATTTGTTTTTTGGAATTTTCCCAGGTGGGTATTTCTTCGGGAGCAGCAGCTGCTGCTGCTATTAAGGTTGGAACGAGACCCGAAAATGCTGGAAAACTAATTGCGGTACGTTGAATTTTTTTTATTTTTATTTTTATTTTTTTTTAAATCGAGTTTACGTTTATTGTTTTTAATCTGGTGTTCTACGGCTATGGATATCGGGTCATCTGAATTTAAATGCGACTTTTGAGATGTCTATATTGAAAAATACAAGTTTGATACATAGATGGTGGGAAATTTACAGTTTTCATCCCTCAAGTTTGCAACGATTTCACACTTGGTCCCCCATGTTCACAAAAAACACATTTGGTCCCTCATGTTTTAATAATTTGACACTTTTGGTCATTTCCGTCAATTTACCGTTAGTCCGTCAGTTAAGGTAGTGATGGGCTCACGTTTGATTCCGTTAGTTTTAACGGAAAATTGACGGAAATGACTAAAAGTGTTGAATTTTTGAAACATGAGGGACCAAATGTGTTTTTTGTGTATATGGAGGACCAAATGTGAAATTGGAGCAAACTTGAGGGACGAAAACTGTATTTTTCCCTATAGATGGATGAATTACACAAACACATTAGGGCCTATTTTATCTGGAACTTTCTAAGATTGTGTACTTTGCAGGTGGTATTTCCGAGCTTCGGGGAAAGATACTTGTCCACGGTGCTTTTCGAGTCCATTCGAGTAGAATGTGAGAATATGCAACCCCAATTGTAAATATCATCAATTTTACATAATCTACGTGAAGTGAATAATTCGAGAGAAGAACCAATCGAATAATAACAACTCAATCTGAGTTCTCATCACAAGTCATCATTCTTTAATTCTCCCAAACCAAGAGAAGAACCGATCGAATAAATGGGGATCGTCATTCGAACATCGACAATTTCCAATGTAAACGTAAAACGTTAACTTATTCATGTTTGGCTTTTTTTGTGATAAATCTCCACTTTTAGCCTCTTCTTTGTCATGCACTCTTTCAAGATTATAAATCATTTGATTATTTGAATAAATAATCATCAACAACTTGTATGTGCATCTAGTATAAGCTTTGGAAAAAAACAAACAGAACTAAATCTTGAAGAAATACATGTATACATTAAAATTTAGCAACTCATTCATACTTACATTTACATCCACATTATCCACCAAATAGAGAGATTGAACAAAGAACGCATTATCTTGTACCTCCTTTACATTGATAAGTGGCGGAAAAACTTCAGTTTTCGTATAATAATTAGGGTAAATTACATCCACACTTCTGAGTTACGCTTAATTAACTTTAAGATCCCTATGGTATTGATAATTACACTTACCCCTAAAATATAGTTAGAAGCTCTAATGTGATAATGCACTGGATATGTTATTCCAATACAATTCTAATGGACTATTAAGAAGATGAAATCTCTACAACATTTCAAAATCTTTACAAAAACTCATGTGCAAGTGAGTCTACTTGGGCCATTTCTCGGCTTAAGTAATGAGCTTGCCTTGTTGGATCATAAAAAATCTTGACATCAAGAAAATGTACAAAGTGTTTGTGCTCATAATACTGTGTTGGTAGTAGCTTAACCAAATTTGTTTTACGTGTATAATTTTATTTTTTTCCATCAAGCTATCTTTTCCTCTTATTATGTTTTCCATGGGTTCTCTTTATTAGGAGTTTAGTGTGCAATTAGTACTCTTGTATTATATCGAATTGCAAAACAACTATTCTTTGTTATTTTAGTACCGCAGATCAGGGGGTTGTGTGCTAACAAAATTTGAATCATAAATAATACAGATAGGGGTACTAATTGCAATAAACACTTTTTATTAAAATAAACCTAGAGGGAAGGTAATGAATAAACAATTACTTAGTTGCAAAATTAAGAGTCAATAAAAATACTTTGTAATTATACTATTTTAAAGGGGTCTAGATGTAATTAGCCAATTATAACCATTAAACAACAGACTACACCTTTTTCATTTCATTTTGCACTGCAGTAGAATTTTCTTCACAAAAATCGCTTTAGGAAGATGAGGATTTCTGCAATAGCGCCTCCTATTCGTAGAGCAATTTCTGCTAAATCTTCTACTTATTACGGTATTTTTGCTGATCCGTTCTCTTTATTTTCTTTAAATTTTCATAGCAAAGATACACTTTTTTCACCTAATTTCAGAAGAGATTTGAGTTGTGAAAGTGAAGTAGATGACGTCATTTTCTTGTTTCGCAAAATGGTGAGAATGCGGCCGCAGCCCCCCGTTTTTGAATTCACCAAACAATTGCAAGTTATTGTCAAGATGAAACAATACTCGGTTGCCCTTCAACTGTTCGATGAAATGCGTCAATGGGCTGCCCCTGTAAATGAGTACACAATGGCCATCTTAATTAATTGCTGTTGCCTTTTGAAACGCGTAGACGTTGGTTTTGCTGTGTTCGGCATCTTCTTTAAACAGGGCTACAATGCAAATGTTGTGACATTCAACACTCTACTAAAAGGGCTCTTTTTAGATGGTAAGGTGGCCGAGGCGGAGAAATTGTTTAAGCAGCTTTTGACTTTGAAACTTTGCGCCGAGCCAAACGATGTTACGATTCTTACTGTGATAGATGGGCTCTGCAAAGCTGGACATGTTCTTGTTGCCCATGATTTGCTTTTGTTATTGGAAAAGAGTATCTATAAGCCCAATGTTAAAGCTTATAATGCGGTAATTAATGGCTTATGCAAGACCGGAACGGTAGATAACGCACTCGAGCTGAAGTCTAGAATGATTGATAAGGGCATATCACCCACTGTTGTCACATATAACTCGATGATTCAGGGCTTGTGCGATTTTGGTAGATGGAAAGAGGTCAAAGACTTATTGAATGAAATGGTCAACCACAAGATTTGTTTAACTGTTGTTACTTTCAATATATTAGTGGACTCATTTTGCAAGGAAGGAAATGTTAACGAGGCTGAGGATGTTTTGAAAATTATGAAGCAACAAAACATTCGTCCCGATATTGTCACCTACACTGCACTGATAGATGGGTATTGTTTGCAAGGGAAAATGGATAAAGCGAAAGAAGTATTTGATTCCATAACGGGCAACGGCCTTAAGCCTTCCATTGTCACCTATAACTCTTTAATCAACGGGTATTGCAAGAATGGTAAAGTGGATGAAGCTTGGCGTCTTTTTCTCGAAGCTTCTTCTAAAGGCTTAGAGTTCCGTGATACAATTACCTATACCACCATGATACATGGATTACTAAGTGAAGGTAGAAACGCTGATGGATGGAAACTTTATAAAGATATGGAAGCTGGGCAAGTACATCCTAATATACGTACTTACAATACTTTGTTGGAAGGCTTGTGCAAGACTCGTCAGATTTCTGAAGCGTTTTCATTTCTAAAGATGATGGAAGACAAAGGAGTAAGTCCTAGTATAGTCACATACGGTATCCTGATTAATAGTTTGTGCAAAGATGGGAAACTTGAAGAGGCGAAAAATCTTTTAAACGAACTTCCTTCCAAGGGGTTGGAACCTAATAATCACGTATATAATGTCATTATTGGTTCACTTTGTGAAGAAGGGTTCGTAGACGAGGCAAAAGATTTGCTTATAAAAATGGAGAGAAGTGGTTGCGCACCGAATAGCATGACATACAACATCATTATTCATTGCTTGTTGAAGAAGAAAGAGTTGGACAAGGCAATGCCATTCTTAGAGGAAATGCACAAAAAAGGATTCTTTGCCGACGCAACTACTTCGTCCATGTTAATTAATCACCTGCAAGGGTCCAAGAAAGATGATGTTCTTTTAGAAATGATGAAGAAAGTTGTTCCGAAAATATAAATTATTTATTTTCGGTTTGTCAAGTTTAATTAGGTTTTTGGAATGTTGAAAATGGATTGTTAGTCATTATTGATTTTTATTTTCTTCTTGAATGAGTTTAACAGAATCCCTGGCATCTCTGAGTTGATTTCTAAGCTTTACTCGGATCATTGTTTTCTAAATTTCTGGCAAATGCAGCCAAAGGCTCCAATTTTCACTCGTCTACTTGTGATAGTTTTGAGCTAGTATTCCATTAAATGTCTATGTTTATGTCTGTTTTCATGATGGGGAGACATTATTCTAAATGGTAGCTTAGAAAAAAAATGAGAGATAATTAGTTCTTTTCTTTATGTATCTCTCATGATTCTTTATTTGCAAGGTTCAGTTTTCTGATGAGTTTGAGTATTGAGATTTATTGGAAATTGTTGAGGCCTTCAGTGAATATTTTCGTAAGGCTGCTTGTGAAGAGAGCAGCATGTATCTGGATAGCTCAAGGCGAGACGAGCTCAGCTCGATTGGAGCTTCAAGCAATTGAGAAGTAACGACTGTTATTGGTTATTGTATATATATATATATATATATATATATATATATATATATATATATATATATATATATATATATATATAATATGATATGATATGATATTGGAGGTATTGAGTTCAAATGTCGAGCACACAACATATTCTTGATTTAAGCTGAAATGATTTTATGTTGATTTTACAGAGACAATGTATGACATTACTAGTTTTGATAGCATATGCGATTGACATTACTAGGACAGTAATGTGGTGAGAGGTGAGCAACTAAGATTATTGTTTTAAAATTTCTTATTTTGCAATTCAGCGACGAGCACATTGACACTGTGTGTATTTTATACCGACTGCCACTTTATTGTTAACAAATTATTTGATGGACTTTACAGATTAGGCGATTGAGGTCAAAGATTTGTTCGTTTGAGTAGTGCAACTGCTTTATTACATTTAAACCTTCTTATGGATGTAGAATTTGGATTGATCTTTATGTAATTTGATGCCCTATCTCTCTATCCTCGTGTTCTAGTTGTACTATCCTTAAACTGATCATGGATAGAATGCCAATGCAAGCCATTTAGGAAGAAATTGATAGTATGTGTTACATTGTTACAAAGTTTGTGGTTTTTTCTTTATTCCTATTTGCAAACAGCCTATGAAAATGAAAGTGACTTTGGAAATGAAGGGAGAGGCAGAGTTTCATGTTTGAACTAATTCTTGAGTCGAAAGAGGGAAGTAAATCTTTTCGTCTTATTCTGCTGATAAACTGAAGCAGTTTAAGCTATTATAATAGCCTCTGCACCATTTATTGTATCATGAGAGCTCTGATTAGTTCGAATATTAATGCTTACTCAACCTCTAATATGGTATATATAGATGTGCATAACAAGGTTTGGCGATTATGCTTTTAATGCAAATTAAGCTGCACTTCCTCCAGCACAAGGTTTGTTTCGTTTTACTACTGTGAAACTATTGTGGTGATTAGTTGTAATTTCTTATGGCTTTTTTTTTCAGGTACCGGAAGATTATAGTGACCAAGACTTCCGGATGTTATTTTGTAATGGAACTAAGATTTTGCATTATGAAAAACAATATTTCTTGCTGTAAAGAACTTCAAATATTTTTCTTCTGAAAAATGTATTGTGAATGTAATTAATATATGCATGTTAATGAAATTATATTTCATGATTATTATGCATTTCTAGTATTTTTTGCTATCGAACATTATTTACAGATTTTAGCCGAAAAATATTTCGCAGTGATAATTATATTAAAAGAAATATATTAGTATTCCCGACGGTTTTAAAGCGTCGGGAAAAACTTTCTCTTGACGGTTTTTTACATGTAAAAGTATATAGGACGCCTTTTTTGTTGACGCTTTTCTGACGCTGTAAACGTGTCAAGAATAGTATTCCCGACGGTGTTTTTGGATTTTGAAACACGTGGGTTTTTCACAAAAGTGTTTTTAACTCTCTTACTTTCAAACTAAATTTTAGTTATGACTTAGTGGGCTAAGTATTATGACTTAGTGGGCTAAGTATTATGACTTAGTGGGCTAAGTAGTGCTTAGTGGGTTTAATTGTGGATATTCTTTCTAACTTCTTAATTAACCCACTAACCCATTTTCTAGAGTGCTCTTGTAGTTGGTTTTCTTGCAGATCATGTGCTGAGAAGTGGAAGCTTGGAAAGTCTATAAATACCAAACTCAAGACCCAAGAAAACAACAGATTTTCGAAGAAACAAAAACCGAGTGTTGAAGATTATTCATGAGAGTTTTAGAGTGTTTCTAGAATCTGTTGTACGTACTCCTCACGAGTACATTCTTTGAAATCTAGAATTTTTAATATTTCTCTTTTTGTTTCTAGATTTGAATGTAAGAATGATCATGTTAATGATTCATTCATAAGGAAGAAGTTTTCACACATATTCTATTTGTATTCTTGGAATACTGTTTTCATATAATTTTTCCGTCCTGTAAAGGGCAAGTTCACAAGTTTTACTTGTGAACATTTTTAGATCTGAGTATTGTCTTTATATCTTTATATTTCCGCTGCATGTTTTCTCAAGTGTCATAACACTTAAGATAACATCTCTGTATTAAACGAATTCGGGATCATAATTTTTTTCAATTGGTATCAGAGCCAACACTTGACGTATACTAAGTGTTTGTTCCTATTTCTTTTTCAGAAACGAATTCGTGATGGATACTCAGATGACTGCTTCTATGCGACCTCCTGTACTTGATGGCACAAACTACACCTACTGGAAAGTCAAGATGAAGGCGTACATCAAAGCCATTGATGAGAGAGCCTGGAGATCTATTCTTACTGGATGGAAGCCACCAACTACAACAGATGTGGATGGAGATGTATTTCCAATACTAGAATTACAGTGGACAACAGATGATCTATCAAATGCTAATCAAAACTCAAAAGCGTTAAATGCAATCTTTAACTCAGTAGATTTAACAATGTTTAAATTGATCTCAGTATGCACTTCTGCTAAGGATGCTTGGGAGGTTCTTCAGCTACATTGTGAAGGATCAGACAGTGTCAGAAGAACTAAGCTCAGATTACTCTATTCCAAATTTGAGAGACTGAGAATGGAAGAAACTGAAACAATTTCTCAATACAATGAGAAATTGATTGATTTAGCTAATGAATTTCAATCCTTAGGTGGTCCTTTGAGCAATGAGACACTGGTGAATAAGGTACTGAGAACTCTTCCAGAAAGATTCAGCATGACAGTTACTGCAATTGAAGAGGCCAAAGACACATCATCTCTACGTCTGGACGAATTAATTGGTAGCTTAAGGTCTAGAGAGATGAACTTTGAAGATCAGAGAAAGGAGAAAGGTAAGGCCATCTCAAATGCACTCCAGGCAGAATTAGAGAATGAAGAAGTTGCTTCGGAGTATGATGATGATGCAGAGGAATGTCTCAACAATGTGGCATTTCAGATTCATAAATTCAATAGGGCATACAGACGAAGTGGAATCAAGCCCAGACAGTTATTTCCAGATGGCTCTCCACAAAATCGACAAACTCAGCCCCATAACAGATCTATTCCACAGAGAACATTTCCTCAAACATCTTCTCAAAACACTTTAAAAAATTCTTCATTTATTCGTTCAAATTCTGAACCACCTAACTTGGATCATATTAAATGCAGGGCCTGTTCAGGATTTGGACATTATGCTAATGAATGTGCAAATACCTTGAGAAGAAGAGGAATAAGTCTGATTTGTGCTGTAAGTGATGAGGAGGAAGAGCAACCTGAACAGACAGAGGAGCAGCAATCCACTAAACAGGCTCTTTCTGTCAGATATATCACTGAAAATTCTTCTGAAACGGAATCACAAGGAGTTTCTCTAGATGCTGCAACACTTTCCGAAACACTTTCAGTAACTGAAATTTCTGAGTTAGATGATAACCATTATACATGTTTAAACTCTATTTCCTTGAATGCAGCAGAATCAAGTAAAGAAGCAGTTAGAAATGAGGAAGAAATGTGTAAGAAGTTGTTCAGCGACTTGGAGAAGAAGACTCAAGCTCTAGATGCAACCAACAAGGAAAATTCTTCCCTTAGAGAAACAATCACACATTTGGAGGTTGGTATCACCAAGAAGGATGTTGAACTGGCAAAGGTGAAAGATGAACTCAAAGAAGCAACTCTAGCAATCAAGAGGATGAATACCGGCACAACTAAACTCGAAGAGATTGTGTCACTGGAAAAGTACAACAAAAATGAAGGTCTAGGGTTCAAAAAATAAGTGAAGAAACACAAGCCAGTAAAGAAGAAAGAAACCGTCTTTGTAAAAGAGAAGGGTTCAAATGGAAAAGAATCCAGGAATTTCACAGTCCCCACTTCAGAGTCCAGAATAAGGGGATACATTTGACATTACTGTTTCTCACCAGGACATATTCGTCCATTTTGTGAAAAACTCAGTAGTGACAAAATGCTGTACAGAATGAGTCACAGCACTCCAGGGAACACCTCAAAGAAAAAGGTAGAATTTACCAAAAATGAGTGTAAAATATGGACTCCCAAAGGTAAACTTTTGTGCAAAGCATTATACACTTCTTTAAATGCTAACATTTCAGGTTCATGGTACTTTGATAGTGCATGCTCTAGGTACATGACTGGAACAAAATAATTTCTATCAAACTACCATACACTCAATGGAGGACGTGTAACCTATGGAGGAGGAGCTAAAGGAAAAGTGGTTGGACGTGGAACACTCAGTATTGGGGGACTTCCAAAACATTCAAATGTCTTACATGTTGAAGGATTGGGGTCAAATCTCATCAGTATTAGTCAATTGTGTGATGATGATCTACGTGTTCAATTTGATAAATACTGTTGCTCTGTGTTTGATAATCAAAATCATTGTGTACTGACAGGTTCCAGGTCAATGGATAATTGTTATCAAACATGTGATACCATCTCATGCAAGAGCTCAAGAGTAAGTGAAGTAGAGCTGTGGCACCAGAAACTAGGGCACACAAACTTCAAAAATCTGAAGCTGCTCAACAAGTACAATGCCATAAGAGGAACTCCAGATCTCAAGATCAAGGACATTCCTATATGCGGAATGTGTCAGAAGGGAAAGCAAACTAGAGTGCCGCACAAAGTGTTACAACACGTTGGTACCACCATTAGTTTTGAACTTGTACATATGGATCTTATGGGTCCCATAGAGGTAGAAAGTCTAGGTGGTAAAAAATATGTTTTTGTGTGTGTTGATGATTTTTCAAGATATACTTTGGTGTATTTTTTAAGAGAAAAATCTGATACTTTTGAAGTTTTCAGAAATTTGTACAGGTTTGTTAGAACTCAATTCCAAGTTTCTATTCATAGAATAAGGTCTGATCATGGAAAAGAATTTGACAATGCTTTATTTCTTGCTTTTTGTAATAAAAAGGGTATAAAGCATGAATTTTCTGGTCCAAAAACTCCTCAGCAAAATGGTATTGCTGAAAGAAAAAACAGAACTATCCAGGAGACGGCTAGGGTAATGATGAGTGCAAAAAATCTGTCTAAAAGGTTTTGAGCTGAGGCTGTCAACACAGCCTGTCACATCTCAAATCGTGTGTATCTAAGATTAGGGTCTATGATGACTTCATATGAAATTCTTTATGGTAAAAAACCTAATCTAGAATATATGCATGTGTTTGGATGTGTCTGCTATGTCCTAAATGATAGAGATCATCTAGCTAAATTTGATTCAAAAAGTGATTTGAGTTTGTTTATGGGATACTCTAATAACAGTCATGCTTATAGAGTATATAACTTAAGAACTCGAACCATTATTGAATCTGTAAATGTGGTATTTGATGACTTTGCTGATCCCCGCAGTAAAACAGCTGAAGATGAAGTTGATGACCTGATTGCTGAAGTAGAAACAACCGGAGGAGACACTACTGCCACAGATGCTCCAGATATAAACAGTCCAGTTTCAAGAGAAGAGGGTGTTGAACCAAGTGTTACCACATCTGACTCAATACGTCCTACAGAGAGCACAGAAGCTGAACTGCAGCCAACTCATGATGTCTGCAGAAAGGAACCATCAAGTAGAATCCAGAAAAATCCCCCCTCTACTCAAGTTGTGGGGGATATCCTTGAAGGGATAAGGACCAGAAGAAAAGAGAGAGTGAATTACAGAGATATGGTAAGATTTGCAAATTTATCTTCTGAATGTGCACTAACTGGAACTACTTGCTTTGTGTCTTCAGTTGAACCAAGGAATATTGCAGAAGCTCGAATTTTGGATCAATGCAATGCATGAAGAACTGAATCAGTTCATCAGAAATGATGCTTGGTACTTAGTTCCCAGACCAAGTCATGTAAATGTGATAGGAACTAAGTGGATCTTCAAAAACAAAACTGATGAAAAAGGTACAGTGGTTAGAAATAAGGCTAGGTTAGTAGCACAAGGTTATACTCAGATTGAGGGTATAGACTTTGATGAAACCTTTGCTCCAGTAGCTAGAATTGAATCTATTAGGTTACTTTTTGCTATATCCTGTTCTTAAAATCAAATTGTATCATATGGATATCAAAAGTGCATTTCTAAATGGTGTTTTAAATGAAGAAGCATATGTAGAGCAACCCAAGGGGTTTGAAGATTCTGCCAAACCTAATCATGTGTTCAAGCTTAAGAAGGCTCTGTATGGTCTTAAACAAGCTCCTAGAGCTTGGTATCAAAGACTCACTGACTTCTTACTTGAAATACAGTTTAACAGAGGAGAGGCAGACATAACTCTATTTGTTAGAAGAACAAATAACCATATCATTATTGTACACATATATGTTGATGATATTGTTTTTGGTTCTACTTGTGCTAACCTTTTACATTCTTTTGTAGATTCTATGTCTCACACTTTTGAAATGAGCATGGTAGGAGAGTTGAATTACTTTCTAGGACTCCAAATCAAACAGACAGGTGAAGGAATTTTTGTAAACCAAAAGAAGTATGCTCTCAATCTGGTCAAAAGGTTTGAGTTGGAGTCAGCCAAGCACATAAAAACTCCAGTGGGTTCAAGTAAAAAACTGTCCAAGGACGATGTTGCTGGAGATGTTGACAGCACCCTATACAGAAGCATGATTGGAAGCCTTCTGTATCTAACAGCAAGCAGACCTGATATTATGTTTAGTGTTTGTGTGTGTGCCAGGTATCAAGCTAATCCCAAAGTCACTCATCTTAAAGATGTGAAGAGGATTATTAGGTATGTTGTAGGTACAATAGACTTAGGTATTCAGTTTTTCAAAGACACTAATACAAATTTGATAGGTTTTAGTGATTCTGATTGGGCTGGGGATATTAGATACAGAAAAATCACTTCAGGTGCATGTTTCTTTTTGGGGAATAATCTGGTTTCATGGTTTAGTAGAAAACAAAATTGTGTATCACTTTCAACAGCTGAATCAGAATATGTAGCTGCTGGAGGATGTTGTGGTCAACTAATTTGGATGAAACAAATGTTGGGGGATTATGGGTTAACCAGTGACACCCTGACCATATATTGTGATAATTCAAGTGCTATTGATATTTCAAAAAATCCTGTTCAACACTCACGAACTAAACACATAGATATTAAACATCATTTTATTCGTGATATAGTTGAGAAAAATATCGTGTGCTTAAAGTACATTCCTACAGAAGATCAGCTGGCTGACATCTTTACAAAGGCATTAGATTATGAGAGGTTTTCTAAACTTAGAAAATCTCTCGGGATGTGTAATCAATAAACATGTCCTGAAATATGTTGCAGCACCTCATCTAATATCTTAAGCTGCAACATAATTTACTGAAGCTTAGCTTCCTTAAATAATGACTTCACTGTGATAGATTATTCTCTAAATAAGTAACTGGAAGTCTTTCACCTTGAAACGTGATCATGCTTCATGTAAACATTCAGAGAACAATTATAATCACATAAGTCAAACTCCTCTATCTGAATAGTCATATCTTAGTAACTGAGGAACCTTCAAACTGAACACTTGATCATGTTCCATGTGAATTGTTTGACTTGAAAAAAAAAAAAAAATTTAATATATATATAATAAATTCAATGCATGTTAGCCATTTTTTTCTCACACTATTAATCATTAATAGATGTGTTTCTTATTTTTGTGAAAATTTCGTGAGTGCTACTATTTTTATTATTTTATTTATTATTGAATTATCACTATTTATATGGGTCATGGGATATATGGGTTAGTCTTTTATTTTCCACTAAGTCCACTCCTTATTGTGCCATGTGTCACGTTTTGTCTTAAACTGCCACATAAACCTTTATTCTCCTTAATCACATTTTCTCCAAGAAAAACGCACACCACTTCTTCACATTCTCCACTTCAATTTTTTTTCTGCAAATTAGGGCTTATAAATTCCGTGCTTCTCTTTCGAAAATTCACACTCAAAAAATCAATAGTACAAGAAGCAATTTTTCATCTACTGTACCATGGCATCTCCTCCTAGAAATCCTCTTCCAGCCGTTGGCGATGTCCACAACGATGCTGCAGCACCTGAACCAGCAGACCCAAATCTGGCCATCATCGTTCATCCTGTCAACCTTGAAGCTATGCCGATCAGCTTTATGGAACCCGGAGACGAGCTGAATCCAATTGACCCAGACAACTTCCAATACGTGGGTCCATCGTCCACTGCAGGAAGGTTTCCAACTCGCTGGTCCAAGCGCATGAATCTCTTCCCAGATCTGAATGCTACTGGGTCACAACGCCGGAGGGGAGGTAATTCTCCCAGCAGAGGCGGCAGAGGTGGAAGAACAGGCAGCAGAGGTGGCCGTACTCAAGTTAGGCCAAACCCACCAAGAGGTCTTCATTTGGTTGATGAAGATACAGATGATGAAGAATGAGATCCTACCTTTGCAGAACCAGAAGCCCAAGCTCTCTCCTCAAGCTCCACTGAGTCCTTCTCCAACGACTCAACTCCACCAGCATCAACTTAGGGGGAGACATCTCAGCCTAACATGGCAGCAACAACTTCTCAACATCCTGGTTCTGACAATGTTGTTTCACATGTTCCAGAAGATGCTGATGCACCCACTGTCTCAGTCAATGCCCCTCAAAGTGCTGCTGAGGATGCTGCTCCCTACCAAGATGAGGAAATGCCTGATTATTCTGGGATGTCTTCTGCTGAGCATGTAGACATTCCCACTGTTGATGTCCAGGATTTCACTACCACTGAAGAAACACCTTCAGCTCCACATGCAGACCCTCTAGAAACTGTGGCAGAGGCAGCTGTTCAAGTGGATGCATCAACTCCCCAGGTTGAAGAAACAGAGAAAAGTGATGACAGCTGGGAAGTTCCCCTTGTCTCCTTTCGCAAAAAATTGCCATCCTCAGAGTTAGACAATGACTCTTCTGAAGAATCCTCTCAAATGCAAGAAGATGCTGCCCCACCTGTTGCATCACCTGAACCAGCATACATTCCAGATGAACTTGAAGACTCCGAAGATGAGGAATCCTCTGAGGAAGAAGAGCCAGACTTGGATGGGAAGAATCTGTCAACCCCTTTTGAGGTAAACAATGCCTTCAGTACGTCCTACTTTTTATTTTGAATCTGATTCAACTTTGAGTCCTCAAATCATGAATTGCCAATTCATTGAGGATTTTTTTTTTCCAAGGATGAGTTTGATAGACATAGGATCACTGCTTTTCTTGACCAAAGAAAAATCCTTAGTCTAGTTGAAGTTGTCTGTCCTTATAATCCTTCTGTTGTGAAGGAATTTTATGCCAATTTACAAACCTCCTTTTTAAAGAAAAATTCTCCAAACTTTGGCAAAGTTTTTGTGCGAAATTCCATTTTCTCCTTTTCTCCCAAAATTATCAACTCTCATTTACAAACTCCTACTGTGATTGATGAGGATAATTATGGTGATTTTACTGAGGTTTGTAAGACTCTTTCTGGCAATCGTCTAAAATGTTGGCCTGGTTACCCCAGAAAATTCAAAGTTTCTCAACTCACTGCATTTTCTTCTGTCTTGTTCAGACTCACAGTGATGAATTGGATTCCATCCAAAAATGTCTCTGTGGTAACTAAACCTCATGCAGTACTCATGTACAAATTGGGGATGGGATTACCAGTTGATTTTGGAAAGCTTTTCTTTTATAATATAGGTCATCTTGCCCAGAAAATTTCATCCTCCACTCATCTTCCTTATCCTTCTCTCATCTACTCCATTCTACTTTCTCAAAATTTGGGCCAAGATGAATCAGAATATCTTCACACTCCACTTGGCATGATCATTGTTTCTCAAAATTTTCTAAAAGCTCCTCATCGTCCAAGATCTTCCCTGGAATGGAGATAATTTCCTCTCAACTGAATCAGGTCAAAATAATCTTGGTACTGAAGGTGTTGCTCCTCATGTTGACAACATCCCTGACATTCTTGTTTCTGTTCCTAGAGATCTTTTGTTACAACAGCTTACTCACTCTCTAGCTCAGATCACTTATCACCAGTCCATGGTGGAAATGCTTCGAAAAGCTCTTTCTGATCAAAAATGGGGAGAAAAAGCTAGTCATGAAGATGAAGCAGGGACTTCTCATCCTTTGGATGCCAGAGGTAGAGAGCAAGGTGTTAATGAAGAAGGAGCAAAGAATGAGGGTGAAGCTCAAGGAGCAGAGGAAAGCAGTGGATCCAGTGCTAGCGATGGAGGAGCAGCAGCTGATACTGAGGAGACTTTGGATATTCTACTCTAACTTTTTTTTATGAACAATATTTGATTTTGTTCTGTTTTTATTTTTCCCTCTGAACTTTTTTTTAGGACTGCACTTTGGTTGTTTCTTCTCTTTTAAATTGTGTTGGACTATCTTTGCTGAATTTGTTTTGAATTGATCTTTCAATATTTTATTTATTATCAAATTCAGGGGGAGTTCAAGCAATGTCTCAGGGGGAGTTTTAACTAAAATTTAGTTTTGATCAGAAAGTTAAAAAGGAGGAGTTTGAAACACGTGGGTTTTTCACAAAAGTGTTTTTAACTCTCTTACTTTCAAACTAAATTTTAGTTATGACTTAGTGGGCTAAGTATTATGACTTAGTGAGCTAAGTAGTGCTTAGTGGGTTTAATTGTGGATATTCTTTCTAACTTCTTAACTAACCCACTAACTCATTTTCTTGAGTGCTCTTGATATGATCCTAACTAGCTCCAACACAAAGAATTGGAAGAAAAGAAAGAGGGAATTCGTTGGAAAAATCGAATTCTATTTCATACGAGTTTCTCGCCTATCTCTAGCCGTTTTACCATTTGGGTCATAACTCTCTCATATGACGTCTTATTTGGGTGATTCGAATTTCTACGCAAAGCCAACTTGAAGATCTAAACCTTTGCTGTTTTGATTCGAGAGAGATTCGGAGTGGAAGAGGACAGAAATCGAGCTTGAACTCAAGACACGTGCACAGCCAAATGTATACTCGGGTTATGAAGAATGTTCGTGTCGTCGACTTGATATTTGGAGTTTAGATTTTATTAAATTACGTTTTTATATTAGGTTTAATATATTTATATTATTTTAGAGTTAGTTCTGGCTAGGATTTTCTTATTTATTAGTTTCCTTATTATAGATTAGGTAAGAGTCCATTTCCTTGTGAAAAAGGAGTCTTTTTAGATCTTATAAATATGTAGCCAATTTGGCTGATTTGATGGGACGAATTTTGATGATTTAATGGAGTTTATTCTCTTTGGTTATTTAAGAACTGTTCGAACATTTCGGTGGATTCCGTATGTTCACCCCGACTTATCAATCGATCTTACGCAATCGATTGTGGCGTCTTCGCATACCAAGGTTCTTGTCACTTTATAGACAACGGGTCGCGGTTCCACCTCTTTGAATCCTTCTTTGGACGGTCCAGGGTTTGATATCCGAAATATTGATATCGGGTCTCGTCACACGGTTGGCGTGGTTCGTATCATTTGGTATCAGAGCCATCTTCCTAAGAAGGTTTCGCCTATCCTTTATCTTTATTTTTTAGTCGGTCTTTATTTTTGTGTCTTTATTTTGTTTTTCGATTTTTTGTGTCTATTGTTGTTGAGTCTTTCTAGTCTTTCGTTTGTTTATTAGAGTCCATAAACCAAAAACAAAAAAATCGAAATTTATTTTTTGTTTGGAGTTTCTTTGAATCTAAGTTAGGTTTTGTCTAGAGTCCAGAAAAAAAAAATCGAAAAAAAATGGAAAAAAAAAAAACGAAAGAACGAGTGAGTTTTGTTATTCGTTAATCTCGTGAAATCTATTAAATAAAAAAAAAAATAGAGAAGTTCCAAATGGCAGCGAAGAACTTTCTGATTCATGGATTCGCTTTCAATAGTATACGCTCATTCCAAGGAATCGAATTTGAGGACGAATTCTTTTAAAGAGAGGGAGTATGATATGATCCTAACTAGCTCCAACACGAAGAATTGGAAGAAAAGAAAGAGGCAATTCGTTGGACAAATCGAATTCTATTTCATACGAGTTTCTCGCCTATCTCTAGCAGTTTTACCATTTGGGTCATAGCTCTCTCATAAGACGTCTTATTTGGGTGATTCGAATTTCTACGCAAAGCCAACTTCAAGATCTAAAACTTTGATGTTTTGATTCGAGAGAGATTCGGAGTGGAATAGGACAGAAATCGAGCTTGAAGTCAAGACACGTGCACAGCCAAATGTGTACTCGGGTTATGAAGAATGTTCGTGTCGTCGACTTGATATTTGGAGTTTAGATTTTATTAAATTACGTTTTTATATTAGGTTTAATATATTTATATTATTTTAGAGTTAGTTATGGCTAGGATTTACTTATTTATTAGTTTCCTTATTATAGATTAGGTAAGAGTCCATTTCCTTGTGAAAAATGAGTCTTTTAGATCTTATAAATATGTAGCCAATTTGGCTGATTTGATGGGACGAATTTTGATGATTTAATGGAGTTTATTCTCTTTGGTTATTTAAGAACTGTTCGAACATTTCGGTGGATTCCGTATGTTCACCCCGACTTATCAATCGATCTTACGCAATCGATTGTGGCGTCTTCGCATACCAAGGTTCTTGTCTCTTTATAGACAACGGGTCGCGGTTCCACCTCTTTGAATCCTTCTTTGGACGGTCCAGGGTTTGATATCCGAAATATTGATATCGGGTCTCGTCACACGGTTGGCGTGGTTCGTATCATTTGGTATCAGAGCCATCTTCCTAAGAAGGTTTCGCCTATCCTTTATCTTTATTTTTTAGTCGGTCTTTGTTTTTGTGTCTTTATTTTGTTTTTCGATTTTTTGTGTCTATTGTTGTTGAGTCTTTCTAGTCTTTCGTTTGGTTATTAGAGTCCATAAACCAAAAACAAAAAAATCGAAATTTATTTGTTGTTTGGAGTTTCTTTGAGTCTAAGTTAGGTTTTGTCTAGAGTCCAGAAAAAAAAAATCGAAAAAAAAAGGAAAAAAAAAAAACGAAAGAACGAATGAGTTTTGTTATTCGTTAATCTCGTGAACTCTATTAAGTTTCTTTCTTGTGGCGTCAACATTATAACTTTGGTTCGTGGTTCTATATAGCCATTGGGTCAAGTTGGTTGTTCCATACTTTCGGTTTGCGTTTCTATATAAACGTTAGGTCGGAGTGCTTACAAGGAAAATTTGATCTTGTTTATTGGATGGGGAATTTCATTATTAATTGTTCAAAAAAAAATAAAAAAAAATAGAGAAGTTCCAAATGGCAGCGAAGAACTTTCTGATTCATGGATTCGCTTTCAATAGTATACGCTCATTCCAAGGAATCGAATTTGAGGACGAATTCTTTTAAAGAGAGGGAGTATGATATGATCCTAACTAGCTCCAACACGAAGAATTGGAAGAAAAGAAAGAGGCAATTCGTTGGACAAATCGAATTCTATTTCATACGAGTTTCTCGCCTATCTCTAGCAGTTTTACCATTTGGGTCATAGCTCTCTTATAAGACGTCTTATTTGGGTGATTCGAATTTCTACGCAAAGCCAACTTCAAGATCTAAAACTTTGCTGGTTTGATTCGAGAGAGATTCGGAGTGGAATAGGACAGAAATCGAGCTTGAAGTCAAGACACGTGCACAGCCAAATGTGTACTCGGGTTATGAAGAATGTTCGTGTCGTCGACTTGATATTTGGAGTTTAGATTTTATTAAATTACGTTTTTATATTAGGTTTAATATATTTATATTATTTTAGAGTTAGTTATGGCTAGGATTTACTTATTTATTAGTTTCCTTATTATAGATTAGGTAAGAGTCCATTTCCTTGTGAAAAATGAGTCTTTTAGATCTTATAAATATGTAGCCAATTTGGCTGATTTGATGGGACGAATTTTGATGATTTAATGGAGTTTATTCTCTTTGGTTATTTAAGAACTGTTCGAACATTTCGGTGGATTCCGTATGTTCACCCCGACTTATCAATCGATCTTACGCAATCGATTGTGGCGTCTTCGCATACCAAGGTTCTTGTCTCTTTATAGACAACGGGTCGCGGTTCCACCTCTTTGAATCCTTCTTTGGACGGTCCAGGGTTTGATATCCGAAATATTGATATCGGGTCTCGTCACACGGTTGGCGTGGTTCGTATCATTTGGTATCAGAGCCATCTTCCTAAGAAGGTTTCGCCTATCCTTTATCTTTATGTTTTAGTCGGTCTTTGTTTTTGTGTCTATTGTTGTTGAGTCTTTCTAGTCTTTCGTTTGTTTATTAGAGTCCATAAACCAAAAACAAAAAAATCGAAATTTATTTGTTGTTTGGAGTTTCTTTGAGTCTAAGTTAGGTTTTGTCTAGAGTCCAGAAAAAAAAAATCGAAAAAAAAAAGGAAAAATAAAACGAAAGAACGAGTGAGTTTTGTTATTCGTTAATCTCGTGAACTCTATTAAGTTTCTTTCTTTTGGCGTCAACATTATAAGTTTGGTTCGTGGTTCTATATAGCCATTGGGTCAAGTTGGTTGTTCCATACTTTCGGTTTGCGTTTCTATATAAACGTTAGGTCGGAGTGCTTACAAGAAAAATTTGATCTTGTTTATTGGATGGGGAATTTCATTATTAATTGTTCAAAAAAAAATAAAAAAAAAATAGAGAAGTTCCAAATGGCAGCGAAGAACTTTCTGATTCATGGATTCGCTTTCAATAGTATACGCTCATTCCAAGGAATCGAATTTGAGGACGAATTCTTTTAAAGAGAGGGAGTATGATATGATCCTAACTAGCTCCAACACGAAGAATTGGAAGAAAAGAAAGAGGCAATTCGTTGGACAAATCGAATTCTATTTCATACGAGTTTCTCGCCTATCTCTAGCAGTTTTACCATTTGGGTCATAGCTCTCTCATAAGACGTCTTATTTGGGTGATTCGAATTTCTACGCAAAGCCAACTTCAAGATCTAAAACTTTGCTGTTTTGATTCGAGAGAGATTCGGAGTGGAATAGGACAGAAATCGAGCTTGAAGTCAAGACACGTGCACAGCCAAATGTGTACTCGGGTTATGAAGAATGTTCGTGTCGTCGACTTGATATTTGGAGTTTAGATTTTATTAAATTACGTTTTTATATTAGGTTTAATATATTTATATTATTTTAGAGTTAGTTATGGCTAGGATTTACTTATTTATTAGTTTCCTTATTATAGATTAGGTAAGAGTCCATTTCCTTGTGAAAAATGAGTCTTTTTAGATCTTATAAATATGTAGCCAATTTGGCTGATTTGATGGGACGAATTTTGATGATT